TTTCATATTTCGGATGTCCTATTCCGTCTCGTGCGTGGGATGACGTTACGTTTTCACCGCTACAGGAGTTGCTCTTCACGACAGTCTCACGATGCAAATTGATGATGTTCCGGTACTCCATACCCGCTACGTGCTGTAGGCAGGCTAAGTCATCACGTCAGCGCTGAGAGCAGAGGTCGTAGGTCAACATGACACGCCCACTTAGCGTGGGCTCGCAGGAGTAGCGTCCCGGATGGAAGACAGAGCCCAGTGTAGCTGTCAGTGACAAACTGTCAGAATAGTTGTAACTTTTGTTCTTTGTTGCATTAAGATACACTGAAGTAAAAAAGGTGTGTATGTGATTGTTGTTTGACCTCGCGCTTAGAAATAAGCGGGATAAGACCGAATCTGGATTAAGTGATTGATATAATGAGCAACTATCCACGCCGTCGGGGTAGGTTGACACGACATGACGTCAGCGAGCCTGACCACACGCTCTATTAAGTCGCCTCTGACGACCAGCATAGGTTGATTGGGACCAATGCTAACCTGGAATTTGGGTTTTGGAGTTGGGTTTAACGGCGCTTTGAACAATATTCCAAATTCTGTATATTTTAAATGTAATGTAGGTAGGAGACCAAACGTGAGTTCCAAAGTGCAGGACGTAGCTCGATTATTTAGAGACCGCCGTCATATAACTGGAATTTTGCTAGGTGCGGCGTTAAACATCCAACAAACAAACATCCTTGAAAATCGCACGTTTTATATTAGTGATCATTGCGTTCACCTCATTCACACACTTGCGGAATGAACTCATTCAAACATGAACCACTCAGTCACTGATGTGAGTGAATATGGTTTTACGCCGCTATTTTAGCAACATTCAAGGAATATCACGGCGGGGGAAGCCCGAAATGAGCTTCACACATTGTACCCATGTGGGAAATCGAACCTGGGCCTTCATCCTGACGAACCAACCCACTGCCCCTCAATATTGTGGAAAGTCTGCATTTTTGCATTCGAATAGTATTTTATTGACACATCAACATCAAGTGCTAACGTCATTGCCACATAGACATGCCAAATCATATGATTAGGACTGATGTGAAGATAGCATTGAAGTCACAACGAAGAAGCTTGGGGCTAGAAGATACAGACAATTGACAAATACTCCCTTAAACTGTGTCTGCACCTTAGTGTAACTCTTATTTGTCAAATGACTCATACCTTTAATAAAAAGGAAAGTTTAGAAGATACCCACAGGTGGTAAATTTATAGCTCAAGTCTACAGCAAAACTATTTACCCGGCACTGATTTGTGCTTGTGTTGTTCTCGACAACAAAAGTGTACTCACCTTCTTATCTATCATATATTTAGAAGCACATAATAAAAAAACTCATTATTTTTTAAAATTCAAAGACTTAGTGTACTGTATTTATGTGGACAGAAGATTGGACATTATTAGATCTATAACTTATTTCAATTGAATTAAAATAAATTCTGGGTTTTTATTTTTGTGCTCTTTGGACAGATGTTGGTGACATGTCTGGTAATTTTACTCCCCGCTGGAGGCGAACAACCGTTAAAATGAGGAAAATTGAAGTGAAGTATTTTACCCCAATACGCATTTAAGGGTCGTTAAGACCCTTCCGTGATCTGTCTTGGACACAGCTAAACAGTTAGCGGATTAACCTGTCTTTTGTTTGTTTGTTCGTCTAACGCCGCACTCACTATTCCAATAATCCAGTGATTGCCATCATCAGCATCGATCTACGCAATTGGGATACGATGACATGCATCAAACTAGCCAGCGAGCCTGACCACCTGATCCCGTTAGTCGCCTCTGAAGCCATGTAGTCAACGTCAAAATAATTAATAATATTGTTTTCAGTTTTCAATACATTCGTATTATCACGGTTACCTTTAGTTTTGGGAATATTAATTCTGGAAATGTTTTGTGATTTTGCATTAATTTAAAGTCTGAGACTTACAGATCATCTGTCCATTGGATCTGACACTGGGACGTGACCCCGGAGAGTCAGTTTAACCGCTACACAGCATACAGTTCCTATATACGTCAGGGTCACAAAGACAAACAGGAATGTTTGAAAATGTTTGTTATGTTTGTTTGAACACTGGGAAAAACATATTTGTGAAGTTGTATTGTGACAGAATAAAACAAGCAAACTGAACATAAGCAGAGCAATAACAACATTCACGTGTACATTGTCCATGTGAGGCGGAAAAGGTTCCCAGTCGTCTAAGGCGCCGCACTTTACCGTGCAGGGTCCTATAGGCGTATCGGGATCGTATGGCCGACTTCCCGATCGGCCCTGCTTGTTTGTATTAATGAGATCTTTGTATATGAGTGAGTTCGGTTTTACGTCGTTTTTTTTTTATTATTCCAGCAATATCATGGCGGGGGAAACCAGGATTCGGCTTCACACATTGTACCCATGTGGGGAATCGAACCCGGGCCTTCGGATTAATGAGCGAACGCTTGGAATATTGCAGAGTGCGGCGTTTAACAACAAACAAACAAGCAAACAAAACATTTCATTACAAATCACTGCTTAACTTCACTGCTTAATATTATTATTACAACATTGCGCCAAGAGCAACTTCCCACAAAACAGGCAACAAAAGACGAGGTAGGATAGAGGATTTTGATGGTCCTTTGGAAACATTGAATGTTGAATTTACGTAAAACTGGTATTTTGGTTTAATACATATCATCAAACATGTTCAGACGGGTTGAAAACTAATGTTTTGTCTTGTTACACTAACAAGTTTTGCATGTTTGACATGATCATACCCATACGTTTTGCTAATATGACGAAGACGATTTTTCGAACGTCAAGTGCAAATCTAACTGTGGGCAAGTCGGTATCCCAAGGTGACCTTTTTTACCATAATCATGTTTGTACTCTTTTTCTACACCTAAGACAATCATCTTCCGGGAAAGACTTCTCGTGTTGAAATGTGAGAAACACGTTTCCTGAAAAATCACAAAAATCAATATTTAGCCTTAGCGTTGTTTTAAGTCTCAAACATGCAATTGTTGAATGAAGTCTTTTTCTCCATCATGTGAACTCACCTGTGGAGGCAAGGCTCAACACATGCGGATTTTCGGAAGAGACAAAGCCGAGAAGTGAAACTGTTGTTTGAGTAGAAACCTGTTGAACTGAAAACCTTGTTCAACACACTGTCTAACATGCTTTTGTCTGTGCTGGTCACATACTCACTATACAACACACAGATCGCTATAAGTCTCCGGCATGTGGCGGAGCTCCCACGACAAACAAAACATGTTTGATATACTTCTAGCAGAACCGTATTTTTTTGTCAAAACGTGTCTTCGACATGTTGTGTTTAGAGGGCAGGTTAAATACATTGAATCTTTAGAAATATCTAACCTGTGTGCTTAAAGCTGTAGACTGCCTGAAAAAGTCATTTTTTTACTTTATCCTTTGATCAGTCTTTAAATGGTGCGTTTAGTGGCCTCTGCGTATGTGTGTTTGAAGTAGCATTGCAGTTGTGAAACGCACAATAGATATTATTTATTCTTACAATGATTGTACCAATGGAATGCTTGCTGGTGTTTGAACATCTATTTGCAGTATCATATATTTATATACAATGTGCACCTCCGCATGCAGTTATCATATACACAGCGGAGCAAGCCGATTAAACTCGGAATATATTACAAATTGAAGCGCCATCTGACGTTCTTTATTGTCAACGTCCTTTAGAAGTTTAGTGTCCTTTCGTGCGCACTAATGTTCTTTAGTACGCATTGTTCTTTCTTTTCATTTGACGTCATTTCGTAACATCTGACTATTATATTGCGTACATTTGAACTTTATTTCAGTATTGTATTTTTTTTACCGGCGTCTGTTTGTTTTGTAATTTGATCTTTATTAGTAATATTAAATACTTTATTTGTAACATTTGACTATTATTGCGTACTTTTGTCCTTTATTTCAACTTTGTTTGCTTTGTTTGTTGTTTAACGCCACACTCAGCATTATTCCAGCTATATGACGGCGGTCTGTAAATAATCGAGTCTGGACCAGACTATCCAGTGATTGACATCATCAGCATCGATCCACGCATTTGGGATCGATGACATGCATCAACCAAGTCAGCGAGCCTGACCACCCGATTCCGTTAGTCGCCTCTTACGACACGCATAGTCGCCTTTTATGGCAAGCATGGGTTGATGAAGATCTATTCCACCACAGATCTTCACTCAACTTTGTATTTTTTGACGAATGTTCGCCCATACCGTGACGTCAAATTTCAAAACTGTTTTGTGAATTAAATAATGTAATGGTATTCAATAAATGAAATTAGACAAATATTGTAATATTTTAACACTATTTATTTTCATTTCTTAACGGGTTCAAATGAAAGATTAGGAGATATTATCCCTTTCTTCCCCTTACTTATTGTTTTAGCCTCTCTCTCTTGGATTCTCTTGGACCCATTCAGGAGTTCCTACGACCTTCAGTGCACCTGATCTCAAACAGGTTGATCGAGTAAACATATGCTGGTCAGGCCACCATGAAAACTATTGTTAATATCAAACCCAATAACGTTGTTTCTCAAACTAGAAACAGGATACTTCTAAAAACACATCATGTGTACGTTGCCAACACAGTTAAACCTTTTAAGTGAGTTAAATCTAATTTTCAAAGAATCTGTTTGGCACGTTGCTGGAAAGCAACTTGTTTTCAAACAATGCGGTGATTTCCGAGCTAGCGAAAAGCCGCTTGATGCTCATTCTGTTCTGAAAATACAATCGCTTCCGCCTTGACGACACTCCTGCCAACAGAAGCCTCTTGGATGGTCGCCATATTTGGTCCCCTTATGTAAATCGTTTCGTTGATCGAACAAACCCCGGCCGTGTTTTAGAGGGTTACTACACCTCTCCCTCAATTTCTTGAGGCAACACTGATAGGGAGATTACATTGTTTGTTGTCGTGAGTCGAGATACAAGGCAAAGAATCGTGTTTGTCGATCATTCGCGGAAGTCCCATGCCGAAGCCTTTGTTTGTCGTCTGCTACGCTACTGCGTTGCCGCCAAAGCCAAACAAACCTGCATTTATAAAGATTTTCTCCCAAGGGAAAGTTTTCATAAGTGCTCAAGATATGGAACAATAGGGACCTATATTCTAAGGTAAGTTGGGTTCTTTGGTATGAACGGCATTATGCTTGGATTCAAAGAGGAGTATCTTGCATGACGTTTTTGATCGTGTTATCATTTTTTCACTCAGGTATGAGCATGTAAGGATTAGAGTGAGTGAGTATGGTTTTACGCCGCTTTTAGCAATATTCCAGCAATATCACGGCGGGGGACACCAGAAATGGGCTTCACACATTGTACCCATGTCGGGAATCGAACCCGGGTCTTCGGCGTGACGAGCGAATGCTTTAACCAGAAGGCTACCCGACCGCCCCTGTAAGGATTTGAACCAGAGTGGAAAGTATAGAACATATATATATATATATTACCGCTGTTTGTCTCGCTGTTCATATTTCATGGGGGTTGAGGGCATTTGCAAACCATTAACTTTTAGATCATGTTGCGTCCTTGGGCGATGAATAGATTATGACGTAATTATATATTTTGCCACAGAAAGGTTTATTATAAGTTCTTGACAGAGCCGTCCCGTATACATTTTGCACATAGTTATATAGCCGATGTATCACTCTTTTGCTTTAAAATGTTAAAAGAGTTCTGAGCCACTATAGAATATGTTCGTCACCAATTTTATTCAGTCCAAAGGCTAAGGATAGAGTTGGGGGTAACCTACCCTAATTCCAACACAACTAACCTTAAGAATCGTAATAATGTATTATGTATGCGTACTTAAGGGACCTATTTAGTTTTTGTGATACTATTGGATGGCAGAAAGATTCTATAATCGCACCATTCTGAGATGGTTGACACTGTAATAAAACTCAAAGGGTAATTACTTGTGGAAATGTTTATTTAAACTTGACTTAAAATGAAAATGCGTGTATACTATTCATAGTATGAGAACACCTCTAAACAATGAGTCACATTATTGATATAGAATACTTTTTATGGTATGAGAACACCTCTAAAGATGAGTCACATTATTGATATAGAATACTATTCATAGTATGAGAACACCTCTAAAGATGAGTCACATTATTGATATAGAATACTATTCATAGTATGAGAACACCTCTAAAGATGAGTCACATTAATAATATCGACTGCTATTCGTATGACAACACCTCAAAACAATGAGTCGCATAAATGATATCGAATACTATTCGTATGACAACACCTCTAAACAATGAGTCACATTATTGATACAGAATACTATTCGTATGACAACACCTATAAAAATGAGTCACATTAATAATATCAAATGCTATTCGTATGGCAACACCTCTAAACAGTGAGTCACATCAATGATAACGAATACTATTCGTATGACAACACCTCTAAACAATGAGTCACATTAATGTCAACCTATACAACCACAAGATCCATCTTATCTGTTGACTAGTGTGCCAACATTTCATTATCCCCATCAGCTTGTTAATTCTCTAACTTTACTACGTGTCAGTCCCACCTCAGTTGTGAGAGGATATCCCTAAGTGATGCAGATCTTTTACACAAGTTTACACCTCGTCTTGGACTAATTTGAAATAATAATCATCATCATCATCATCATCACTTTTATTACTGTGAAGGCTCTTCATGACAGATCTGCATTGTGCACTTTTGCACACATTTATTTGTCTGATGATCCTCATGTCAAGCACGTCAAGACGCATGATGAAAACAAGGCATTCCACAGTTAACTTAAACGAGCCAAGGATGTGGGACATAATCTCAATGTCAATGTTGATTTTGTTAATGGTTCTGCACTCCTGGACGGTATAGGAATGAAATTCAACCAAGTGAAGTGCCATATCAAATCGGCCCAAAATCAATTTTTCAAAGAGAGGCTATCTGAACGACCACTGCATCAACCCGAGTCCTTCGCTTGGATGAACTCGGCTGGCATTAAAAGTGAAGCAGATTGTGTTCTGTTTGCTGCTCAGGACCGATCACTTCCCACTCGAAACCGCCAATGTGTGATTTTGCGTCAAAATGTAAATATGATATGTCGATTATGACATGAATTTAATGGCACACATTGTCTGTGGATGTCCAGCTTTGGCAATATCTTAAGCGACATGATGGAGTGGCTCGATCTTTTTATTACCGTATTCGCAATGCTTGTGGTTTTGACTCGGAGGTCCATCCATGGTACGAGCCAGAATATGTAGAGGGCGTCATGGAAAAAGATAACACTGATGATGAGCCTAACAAGCCTGTCTTGGCCGGGATCACCCAAACCGTCCTTGCAGCCTTTTGTATTTTAATCTGTACATCATAATAATAATCTGTACTTTTTTTTAGATATTCTGCTCGCCAAAAAACAACATGAAATCTTTCATCACCTGTTCGTGTGTTGCCATGGTGATACTGGTCAGTTATGTCCAGTCATTCCCATCTGACCACATGGAAATCAAGGACGCCGGCTTAGACATGAGGGCGGCCAACTTCGTAGAGGAATCAACGACGACGGACTCGTCAGTCTATGTGAAACGTCGACGATTTAGTAAGTTAAATCGTTTGCAAATCATTGTTTAACAAAGCTACAGACATATATACTATAACATTAATACTTGCATTGGTGTATTTACGAACGAAAAGCATGAGGCGTTTGGGCCATGATTGATCAGGGTAAAAGCCTTAAGCCATTCAGAACGCCGCGATTCGCGTCCCTTCCACGTGCCAGAAATCTATGATCGTGGGTTCGAATCCCGGTTTGCTCCGATAATGTTTCTGAGTTTGCCAGCGTCACACCCGTGCTCATGGGTTTGACCAAAGTAGCGAACGTCTGAGACCTGCATCACTTCGGGCTTTCTCCATCACCACTCTGTGATATAACTGATGTGCAGTTCAAACCGGCAACAAATATAATCCTCTTGACCAAATAATTGATTTAAACACCCTTGCTTCCTATTCAACGGTCTTTAGTGGTCCTTAATCTTCTTTCACAGCGTGTCAGCTTCACATGGGAAAAAGCCAAATATAGCACAGTCCGTAGATTTTTACCACTTTGGTGAAACCGATCATTACCGGTAGGGCGTTTTCAAGCAAGTGATCAAACACGAGGAAATTTTTGGATTCGAACGCACGACTAGTTGACTCTGTCATGTCCAAGGTGGTTTGGAATCCTGGTACCACCATACACCGTAGATTAATATAGTTCTAATCTAAACTAAGGAAAGTAAACACCCATTTTGATAGTGACAATAAATGAGTGAGTGAGTGAGTTGGGTTTAACGCCGCTTTTAACAGTATTCCAGTCATATCGCGGCGTGTCGGCTTAATGTGGGAGGAAAGCCCGAAGTGATGCAGGTCTCAGACGTTTACCACTTCGGTGAAACCCACGAGCACGGGTATGGTGCTGACAAACCTAGAAACATAATCGTGGCGAACCGGGATTCGAACCCACCATCATAGGTTTCTGGCGTGCCAAGGGACGCAACTCTGCACAGCGAATCGCGGCGCCTTAGACGACTGGGCCACCCGTGCCCCCGACAATAAATGAAACAAACAAGAAACGATATTCGATATACGGGTATCATAGTTGTGTTTTGGACCTTAAGTTTGCAGTGTTACGGCGACTGTTTTCAGCCTGTAACGTTTTAATAACGTTTGAATTTCTGTGATCATATCCAGTTTTCAAGTGTATTCTTATATTTCCCCGACAGTTTATTTGATATAGAGAAGTCGTTGGGGGAGGTGTAACATCTGGGAAATACAGGGATAGGAGCTACAGTCTTTTGTTATTTCATATGTACCGTCTATACAGGGTTAATCAGTGAAGGATACCGGTACGGCTGCACGCGGACTACATGTCTATGCATTTGTATATTAACCGTGAAGATCCGGGGTAGAATAGGTCTTCAGCAACCCATGACTGACCCATAACGAGGCTCGCCGACTTGGTTATGCATGTTGTCGTATCGTGCATGCGTGGATCTATGCTCATGATGTCAATCACTGAATTGTCTGGTCCAGACTCAATTATTTACAGACCGCCGTCATATAGCTTGAATATTGCTGAGTGCGGTGTAAAACAACAAACAAACAAAACATTTGTATGTAGACAGTCTTCAGCTTTGAAAATCATTGTAATTTAGTTCATGGAAAGGTCGTAATGAAACAAGGTGTCTGAAGGTGACACTCAGACAAAAAGTCTTGATATTTTATGAACAATTTTAATACCTTATAAAGCCACAATAAACGAGACAAACACATGGGAAATGATCAATATCTGAACACGCCAATACACAGTATGATTCATAAAATATATTTGGGTATTCAGACAAATAAAGGCTATTATCAATCTCAGTGGAAAAAAAGACGGAAGGAACTTTCAAAATTACAGTGAGTGAGTGAGTGAGTTTGGTTTTACGCCGCTTTTAGCAATATTCCAGCAATATCACGGCGGGGGACACCAGAAATGGGCTTCACACATTGTACCCATGTCGGGAATCGAACCCAGGTCTTCGGCGTGACGAGCGAACGCTTTAACCACCAGGCTACCCGACCGCCCCTTCAAAATTACAGCTGCACAGTAGATATGGTGGCATGACATTTACCCAGTGCGAAGATTGATCAATGTTATTCTTCTAGTTAATGTTAATTCCAAACGGCACAGCCAAACTATATTATAAGAGCCCTGTGAGCACTAAAACACACATGCTAGCCTGCTATTACACACCGTGACAGGTATAATATTTGGACACACTAAACATAGAGATAGCAGATATGACAGAAGTGTAATTGCCACAGCATCTTATCGTAATATCGTAATAATGAAATACAGTAAACTACGTTTATAACGAACACCCTTATAACAAAATGACGGACATAACGAACTGTCTTTGGGTTCCGTACATTGGCTGTATATATGCCCAATCGAACTACGATTTTAACGAATTATAATTAGTTCGCTTTAACCGTAGTTTACTGTACTGTCAAGTACTATTAGCTGTCACCACTGTCAGGTACACGGCAGACACAAGTATGCGAATGATATACTTTTTATTCAACAAAGCACAAAATACACATGAGGCCAATCTTGTTATTCTAGATAATTTCAAGATCTCCAAGGTTTGAACGCAATATGTCGTAACACCTGCAAAACTGATACTGAATCTAAAGGTGAGGTGGGGTGAAATACTGTTTGAGGTCGCGTTCAAGATTATTGCATATTATTGCATTATAGCGACGCGAATGCCTGTGGGTGTATGCGTGTGTCTGTTTGTACTAGTACGGATTACTGTCGGGTGTATAGTGCTAGCCCAAGGAGATAATAACCGCAGTTTAGCATAGACCCAGTGTACTGACCTCGAGCAGACCAGTCCTTGGTTAACCCCCTTAATGCCGAGCACCAGGCAGGGTAACAACAAGTTCCATTTTTAAACGTTATTTGGCATGCACGTTAGTTTTGACGCCAAACACAACAAGGCCATTATCCTAGTGTTATACCATGGGGTGGTCGTGTACATGTTATCACAACATTCATATATTCTATTCTAGACTGCACAGACTCTCACAGGCCCCACGAGAACGACACCAACAAATTCCAGGTGTTCCACAACAACGTCTGGTGGGACCAGGTGTGTCAGACCGGCCTCATCTGGAACCAGACCCTTTGCAGGTGCGAGTACTCGTCTGGTCTGAAGAAGATGCCCAAGTGCCCCGACTACAGGGCCCACAGCAACGATACCAGCAAGTACGAACAGTTGGTCAACAGCAAGTGGATCATCCGGGAATGCAATCTGGCTGTGACCGGTTTACTCTGGAACCAGACCGCCTGCAGATGTGTGTGGGGCCCGGATGGAGAAAAGGACTTCCTGTCACGTCAAAGTAGGTGGCGGGCCGCAGGTTGATTTAAAAAAAAAAAAAAAATGTTTCTCGGGTACAATTTTCGCAAATTGAGGAAGGAGGTTGGACTTTTATTTTTTATTGAAAACCTTTTGTGTTTACCGCCAAGACTACAAGCAATCACACTCTCGGCTCTGTGATAACATATCATTTGCAAAGCACGTTATTTTATGGATAGAATGTGCTTCATATCAGGTGGGACATTTGATATTTTTAATTGTTTTATTGTAAATAAAAATTACTGACGCGAAGGATTTGAAAGTTGCGCACCGATACCGGAGAAACAATTCCTTTTTTACATTTCTACTAGAGTAAGAGTATCTGAGATTTTTTTTAATACGCATAAGTAAGTGAGTGAGTGAGTGAGTTGGATTTAAAGCCGCTTTTAACAGTATTACAGTTATATAGAGGCGTGTCCGCTTAATGTGGGAGGAAAGCCCGAAGTGATACAGGTCTCAGACGTTTACCTCTTCGGTGAAACCGACGAGCACGGGTATGGTGCTGACAAACCTAGAAACATAATCGGAGCGAACCGGTATTCGAACCCACAATCATAGGTTTCTGGCGTGCCTAAGGGACGCAACTCTGCACAGAGAATCGTGGCGCCTTAGACGACTGGGCCACCCGTGCCACCTAATACGCCACAGACGGCAATATCCCTTCTACATCGCTGTGCTTTGTACTCTTTATTGTTGGCAACGTCATCCTCAATCGGGACACGATGACAACACGAGCCAAGTACGTCCAAATGCAGCTTAGATACAAAGCACGAAATTAGCGGTTCTCATGTATTGCATGTACTGCATATCGTGAATGAAATTTCCGTGAAGCATATTCGTGTTGTATATATTTTCATATATTTATTGATTTATTTTAGCTTTTAGACTGCATTTTATATCTGATTAGGCAGTACTTTGTTACCTTGATGCTGTATTTTTACGTCCGATAACGCACGCATAACTGGACAACTTCGTCAACTTTCGTAGCTCGTACACTATTTGTGCGTTATCCTTAACCAATAATTCTGGGGATGTATTCTCACCCGGGTCGCCATGTTCCTACAAGTAATTTATCATCTAAAACTGGCTCCCACAGGAGATATCGCTGCAATGAAATTACATCACAATGCTTTGCAGACCATTGTGACGTCACTGGTTACCATGACATCACAATCAAATGACATCACAAATGGCTCTGCTACTGAAGCTGTTAGCAGTACCTTTCACACTGAAGACACTGCTAATTACTGTCTACAAATTGAAAAAGGTGGAAGAATGATGTTGGATGATAAATAAAATCTCACCCTCGTGTCTTTTGATATCAAATATATCAACACTCGTTGATAAAAGTGGCAAAAATCCTCAGCAAGCCTCGGAATTTTCCACTTTTATTAACTCGTGTTGATATATTTGATATCAAAAGACACTCGGGTGAGATTCTCTATGTATAATCTGAATGAAGGTCGTGTCTTTGTCAAATTCTATGATTATTTAGTGAATGATTATTGGTTATGAGGCTTGAGACAGCATGGTTGTGATGTAGGTAGACACATCTAGGTTAAGAGGAACCAAGAATTCGAACACATGACAAGAGTCCGTAATGCCAGGGTGTAGAACTATACAAGACAGTCTCTTTGATAAACAACATTTTGTTGTGCACATAAAAATAATTTAAAAAATAAAGTATACGCGTGAACATTTGATTTGATAACAAAATTACAAATTACAAAACGTTACTAGGTTGAAAACAGTCGCCGAAGCACTTCAAACCTAAGGTTAAAAGCACCGCTATGATACCCGTATCAAATACATCACCTTCGAATAGCCATTTTCTTTTGGTTTCATTTCAGCCACTAACGAAAAAGGGTTAATGCTTTTGCCAAGCAGTTTACTTAAAATATTTTATCCATTTTCACAGTAAATTCAAACAATATTTTACCTGAAACAGTATGTTTCATTTTGCTGAGATATTATCATGGTTTCTTTTTCTTGCTCACTTATTAAAGCAAAGCAAAACGTGCGTTTTAAAATAGAAACATCATTTGGGAACGGCATAAAAGACCCCTTTGTCTTAAATGACGTCTCACAACCCCAGTAACATGACAATTATGAAGTAGGCCTCTCATCCGTACTCCTTTAGTGTAGGAGTGCTTATGAATCTCTTTTAAAGGAATTACTGAATAAATGTGTTTTCTTACAGGGGCCACACCATGCGACACGATGTTTAATGTAACATTTGACAACGGCATCGTTGATAACGCCAAAAGCTCATATATCGAGTTGTCACCAAGTGCAAAGATATCCCTTCGCGAGTCCACCCAAAAGGGAAATAAGTACGCATATTTGGAGGATGGATATATGAACGTGTGGTACTTCGCCGGAAATGAACTCAGCGAATCCCTACGCGTTGAATTCAGCTTCAAAGCAGAAGATAATCCAACAACACGTGACAAATACCAGATTATCTTGTCCAATGGCTGCAACGTGACAGCCCTTGGTTACACAACCCCGTCTCTTGCTATTGGCTACAGGGCAGCGGATGAATCCTTCCTTCTCGCCTTCGAGACAGTCAACGTGCGGAAAGCCATTGTCTGCACACGTGAGCTGGTGAGTGTAGGAAACAGACAAATAAGAAACGTTAACGTGTGTTCGAAATTGTGTGTCAGACAGTTTGGTTGTAAATAAACAAATATTTCAAAGTGATGTTAAAGAAAAAAAAGCCCCCTTCATCACACGAGTGTTAAAATGACGTCTGCACCTGTAGCGCATCTGCTTTGCGCAATATTCAAAATAGGTTGTGTTTTACAGTTTGAGTCGTGGTGTTACTTTTAAAGTGGAGTCCGACAGTACTCAGTTTTTTAATCAGTTAAAAATGTCATTTTGTTTACAAATAATTGTTCCAGTCATAATTAGGAATAATTAATCTGGTAAATGTGGATAATAAACAAACAAAAGAAAATAGAGATAATGAGGTAGAGGAAAATATGATTTTAATAATTTCATATATTAATTTTCAAAGTACGCATACGCTACGGATACTCAATGCTATCTGAGATTACTCCGCCATTACGACCTTTGCGTGCGAGTTAACGGGGCCTGATAGAAACTTAGACATTCCCAAACGCCACCCTTATATATTGTGTCAGTGTATTTGATGTTAGCATGAACGGTCAACTACAATTCCTCATTAAATAAATCTGATCAAAATCGTTCTTATTTGGCCAAACAACTGAAGAAAATTATAACATCACGGTTAAAAAAACTAAGTTCCCGCATGGTCATGTCAAATCAGTCTACATGACAACAGTGTACGATCACTTGGACATGACATACAGGGTTAATTCTTCATTTCAAAGATGATTGGTTGCGTGTCCTAATATTTTCGGTATGTTCTATTGTGTGTTCTGTTGTCGGAGCCCTGTTGTCAAAGTATTAATCTTCAACCCTTGTATGGTATTTTGTCAAGGTTAAAGTCTCTAGTTTCAGTACGTTCTGTGGTCGAGATTTGAATCTTTAGTCCCGGAATGATCTCTTGTCAAGGTATAAGTACCTAGCTCCAGTATGTTTTGTTGTCAAGGTAGAACACTCCAGTTTGTTCTGTTGCGAAGGTTTAAGTCTTCACCTCCAGTATGTTCTATTGTCAAGGTTTAAGTCTTCACCTCCAGTATGTTCTGTTGTCAAGGTTTAAGTCTTCACCTCCAGTATGCTCTATTGCCAAGGTTTAAGTCTCTAGTTCCCGTGTGTTCTGTTGTCAAAGTTTAGTATTCAGCTCCAATATGTTCTATTGTCAAGGAGTTTAAGTCTTCAGCTCCAGTATGTTCTGTTGTCAAGGTTTAAGTCTTCACCTCCAGTATGTTCTGTTGTCAAGGTTTAAGTCTTCACCTCCAGTATGCTCTATTGCCAAGGTTTAAGTCTCTAGTTCCCGTGTGTTCTGTTGTCAAAGTTTAGTATTCAGCTCCAATATGTTCTATTGTCAAGGAGTTTAAGTCTTCAGCTCCAGTATGTTCTGTTGTCAAGGTTTAAGTCTCTAGTTCCCGTGTGTTCTGTTGCCAAGGTGTTTACGTCTTCAGCTCCAGTATGTTCTATTGTCAAGGAGTTTAAGTCTTCAGCTTCAGTATGTTCTATTGTCAAGGAGTTTAAGTCTACAGCTCCAGTATGTTCTGTTGTCAAGGTTTAAGTCTCTAGTTCCCGTGTGTTCTGTTGCCAAGGTGTTTACGTCTTCAGCTCCAGTATGTTCTATTGTCAAGGAGTTTAAGTCTTCAGCTTCAGTATGTTCTATTGTCAAGGAGTTTAAGTCTACAGCTCCAGTATGTTCTGTTGTCAAGGTTTAAGTCTCTAGTTCCCGTGTGTTCTGTTGCCAAGGTGTTTACGTCTTCAGCTCCAGTATGTTCTATTGTCAAGGAGTTTAAGTCTTCAGCTTCAGTGTGTTCTATTGTCAAGGAGTTTAAGTCTACAGCTCCAGTATGTTCTATTGTCAAGGTTTAAGTCTCTAGTTCCCGTGTGTTCTGTTGCCAAGGTGTTTACGTCTTCAGCTTCAGTATGTTCTATTGTCAAGGAGTTTAAGTCTTCAGCTTCAGTATGTTCTATTGTCAAGGAGTTTAAGTCTTCAGCTCCAGTATGTTCTATTGTCAAGGAGTTTAAGTCTTCAGCTTCAGTATGTTCTATTGTCAAGGAGTTTAAGTCTACAGCTCCAGTATGTTCTGTTGTCAAGGTTTAAGTCTCTAGTTCCCGTGTGTTCTGTTGCCAAGGTGTTTACGTCTTCAGCTCCAGTATGTTCTATTGTCAAGGAGTTTAAGTCTTCAGCTTCAGTATGTTCTATTGTCAAGGAGTTTAAGTCTACAGCTCCAGTATGTTCTATTGTCAAGGTTTAAGTCTCTAGTTCCCGTGTGTTCTGTTGCCAAGGTGTTTACGTCTTCAGCTTCAGTATGTTCTATTGTCAAGGAGTTTAAGTCTTCAGCTCCAGTATGTTCTGTTGTCAAGGTTTAAGTCTAGGGTTCCCATGTGTTCTGTTGCCAAGGTGTTTACGTCTTCAGCTTCAGTATGTTCTATTGTCAAGGAATTTAAGTCTTCAGCTTCAGTATGTTCTATTGTCAAGGTTTAAGTCTAGGGTTCCCGTGTGTTCTGTTGCCAAGGAGTTTAAGTCTACAGCTCCAGTATGTTCTGTTGTCAAGGTTTAAGTCTAGGGTTCCCGTGTGTTCTGTTGCCAAGGTGTTTACGTCTTCAGCTTCAGTATGTTCTATTGTCAAGGAATTTAAGTCTTCAGCTCCAGTATGTTCTATTGTCAAGGTTTAAGTCTCTAGTTCCCGTGTGTTCTGTTGCCAAGGTGTTTACGTCTTCAGCTCCAGTATGTTCTATTGTCAAGGAATTTAAGGCTTCAGCTCCAGTATGTTCTATTGTCAAGGTTTAAGTCTCTAGTTCCCGTGTGTTCTGTTGCCAAGGTGTTTACGTCTTCAGCTTCAGTATGTTCTATTGTCAAGGAATTTAAGTCTTCAGCTCCAGTATGTTCTATTGTCAAGGTTTAAGTCTCTAGTTCCCGTGTGTTCTGTTGCCAAGGTGTTTACGTCTTCAGCTCCAGTATGTTCTGTTGTCAAGGTGTTTACGTCTTCAGCTCCAGTATGTTCTGTTACCAAGGTGTTTACGTCTTCAGCTTCAGTATGCTCTATTGTCAAGGTGTTTACGTCTTCAGCACCAATATGCTCTATTGCCAAGGTGTTTACGTCTTCAGCTTCAGTATGTTCTATTGTCAAGGTGTTTACTTCTTCAGCTTCAGTATGCTCTATTGCCAAGGTGTTTACGTCTTCAGCTTCAGTGTGCTCTATTGTCAAGGTGTTTACTTCTTCAGCTTCAGTATGTTCTATTGTCAAGGTGTTTAAGTCTTCAGCTCCAGTATGTTCTGTTGTGTGTCCTATTATATCCGTCTGTTGCAGTCACCATATGACTGGCACCGGGTGTCCCTCATCTACGAAGACGGAACGCTGCTACTGAGGGTGGACAACCAGCCATGCATCATTTCAGAAGACTTCACTGGTAAGTGTGGTCTACACAGTTGAACATCGCTGTGTCGACCTCGGATTGTCCGATCCCGTCGATTTTGATGTTATATTTAGAAAGTTTAGACACAGGAACTAAATTGCACAGGTCTTTTTTCAATTCCTCGTTGAAATACAAACACGTTGTTTCTTTTATAATGATTTTTTTATTAACTAAACGGTGTATAGTCTTTCTTTATCTTGAACTGTTCTATACTGTAACCTACTGCAGTCCAGGTACGATATCATGTTTTTTGTGGTGTCGTGAACGACCCTGCGAAATTGTGTTCGGATGTGTCGAACACTCGGATATGTTCGACACAACAGTGGTCGAGTGTATTTGATCAATTACTAGGTGCGATATGATAAATTATTTCCCTACGCTCTCTCGGGCGCATGCGGGGTTAGAGAAGCAGGTTGTTGGGTCTAACTAATTACATAATACCAGGAATATTAGCTAACGTACGTGTTTTCAGACGTTTCACAGAGCCCCCTCTTCCTGGTCCTATTCCACAAAGCGACAATAACGCAAAACCTGTTGTCATCCCCATACGTTAACACTGAATTACAGACGTGCGGCAGTTGTAGTCCTGAACTCGCTTTGTTGCACGGGGTTGGGTGGGATTCGAATGAGACTTTTACGGACGCTTCATTCAAATATTCATCATTTAGGACTGGGAGTCTTACTTCATAATGTCCGTCTTTAAGTTGTAGGATTTAGAAGACGTGATCACCTTTAATTGGTTTTCTAAAGTATCATAGCGCTTTGGTATCGAGGCTTTAGCATAGTCACTGATTGTTCCTGTTATATACTAGTACGGCATGCTTAAAGTACTCATATAGTATGTATAGTCCACTCAAAACAAGTTAAGGAACATCCACAATTGGAAGGCTGTGTGTTGCAATACCCACCACTCATGACAGATTATTTCGTATGTTTATTGTTTAACGCCGCACTCAGCAATATTCCAGCTATGTGACGGCGGTCTGTAAATAATTGAGCCTGGACCAGACAACCCAGTGATTGACATCATGAGCATCGATCCACGTTATTGGGATACGATGACATGCATCGACCAAGTCAGTGAGCCTGTTCACCCGATCCCGTTAGTCGCCTCTTACGACAAGCATAGTCTCTTTTTACGGCAAGCATGGGTTGCTGAAGACCTATTCTACCCCGGATCTTCACGGGTCATGACAGATTCACTATAGCGATATGACAAAATCGGGAGTTTTTGAACTTCTTTGCAGTAGTATTGTAATGGCGGTGCACCAGTTAATCAATGGGACATCTCACTGCATTTCAATGCACTTTTGACATGCAGAACGTGCATATCGGTAAATTTGACTACGGGTGCGAGTGAAACGTTTTTTGTCAGAAAATGACTTAGATTGCGATTAATTGAATTTGTATTTGTGGAAATGTGTTATCGTCTGGAGAAGGGCTTCGTGGTTTATTCAATCTTGTGAATAGGGGAAATCTTTTGCTTACGTTTTGATGTTAATTACAATTTTCTGGTTGTTGGGGCAATAGATTATGAGTTACATCGACCAACCATTAGCAGTCAGTGCCCCTTTTCTCACGTCTATGTGGTCCGCCTTCGTGGTCTTGTGGTAGAGCGCCCGCCCGGAGAGCGGAAGGTCCAGGGTTCGATCCCGGGCCGCGTCATACAAAAAGACGTTAAAAGATTGTACTTGTTGTTACCCTGTCTGACGCTCGGCATTAAGGGGCTAAAACAAGGACTGGTCGGCTCGGAGTCAGTATACTGTGTCTGAGTGGGGTATTCATGTTAAACTGCGGCATGGTATCTCAGTGAGCTAGCACTATAAATCGGCATCAGTCCGGACTAGTACAAGCAGCCACACACACACATACACGTGCATGCACGTCGCTATATAAGTGCAATAATCTTGGAAGCGACGTTAAACCCAATTTCACCTCACCTCACCTCACGTCGATGTTAGCCCTACGATGATCGTAAATCTAAGAATGGGAGCTACGACAGTAACATCACTTTCTGGAACCGGGCCTGGTATTAAGTAAGGGAGAAACGTTTTAGTGATCGTCAGTAACCCTTTGCTTCCTCCACTAGGTCCCGTGCAGAAGACGTCTTGCCCGCTTACCGTGGGTACTGATCCTTTGGAGAAGGAGACGAAATACAGAGGTTACCTTGACGATGTGAGTTTTTGTGATAATTAAAGTATGGATGTTGTCTTATTTGCCTTCATATTTTAACCTTAGTTGATTGTATTGACAAGTGGTGAATTCCAATTTACAGTCTTGATGACCTTTGGAGATAAGGAAATAATAAGTGTGGTGTGCTTTGGTACTTTTTGTTCAACCAGAACATAAAGTTACTAAGCAATTGTATCTGTTATGTTAACGTTTTCATATACAAAAAAAGTGAAACAAGCCTTTCATTCGTATAGGAAGGGGAAGGAGGGAGGTGCTGGGGGTGGAATTTATCTATAAAAAAAAATTGTCTAAAAAAATGATTTTGCGAATATTGCTGAAAAAATCCATACAAAACCCAAGGTCCCAGAGATAGTTTAGCAGTATTTCCCAAGGGCTATGGAAAGTCTCTTGCGTTTCAAATGTTTATATCGTGGAAGCGTAACTGTCGTTCAAAATGCCATCAGCTTTTTCGAGATTTAACGATTAGAAAACACGTTCGGCCTTTCACTTTGCAATCTTGTAAACGACGCTCTGATTTGTCGGAGGAAAGGTCATTCTGACATGACCTGTCATGGGACGTCCTCAGATCTTTGTGTATCGGCTGCGAGCACTAAAATCTGTTATTAATGTGATTGGTTATTGCGTGTCCTTTAGGCCTCAAACGAACGGTGATTTATATCAATGATATATATTGTATTCTCAAGGTCCTGGTGGCAAGATATTGTAGACGATTTGTGGAACAAGTACCACTTGATGACTTTGATCTCCATGACTACAACGAAGAAGAGACAGATGCCACAGAGAACTTGATTGACACTTTCTCCAACATCGATGTTGGCTTCAAAGCATTGCTTTAAAACCACGAATACCTACCAAAAAGATATTGACTGGTGTGTGCACGGGGTGTATTTCACTTCAAAAAGTGGGACTTTTGCAAGTATGTTCCCCGACTAGTTGTAGTCTCGAGGACATCTCGCGAGATTTCCTACAACGTGACTTCCGCCAAAGCCAAGTCGAGGCCGTGCGTGGCTTCGTGTAGCATGGCTAGTGTGTGTTTCATGGGCACCGATGTGTTTTCTTTATTTATTGTCGTCGGATGTGGAACATGTACTTTTATAATATATATTGGTCTTTTTATGTATTTTCTGGAATAAACTTGTAAAAAAAATGGATCTTATTTCATCAATGAACGGCTAGTGTAACGAACCCCGACAGGTCATCGCTGACGTTGGGAAAAAGACCGTGGAACCACGAACTTATTCTATTTATTGATTAAGACCATGTAACGTTGTGGGGGACACCTTTCAGTACTGAGGCCGAAAATCGGTACACCGCTTGTCTCGATCTATGGCTAAGTCGACATGTGTGCGATGGTCCCAGGACTTCAGGTTAACGAGGGTAACCAGTTCACAAGACTTTGAATTTGTGATTACACGTCCTGTCACTATCAGACCTGGTTACCCTATTGTTTGAATGTCACTGTCACTGTTGAAAGCAATTGTGTTTAACAAGGGGTTGCCTGGTGTGTAAACTGTTCGCCCGTCACGCCAAAGGCCTGGTTCGATTCCGCATGGCTACAGTGTGTGAAGCCCATTTCTTGTGTGCTCAAGCTTGATAGTGCGTCACTGAGTGAGTGAGTTGGGTTTAACGCCGCTTTTAACAGTATTCCAGTTATATCACGGCGTGTCAGCTTAATGTGGGAGGAAAGCCCGAAGTGATGCAAGTCTCAGACGAAACCCACGAGCACGGGTATGGTGCTGACAAACCTAGAAACATAATCGGGGCGAACTGGGATTCAAACCCACAATCATAGGTTTCTGGCGCCCCCAAGGGACGCAACTCTGCACAGCGAATAGCGGCGCTTTACACGACTGGGCCACCTGTGCCCCCGATATTGCGTCAGTATTGCTGACACTGGCGTATCTTACTCAATCACTCAGGCACTCCAAAAACACGGCGTATCAGCTCAATGCGAGAGTCACATCCACCCACCCAACCCAAACAAAGAGGAAGAAAAGAAAATGAAAAACAGGTCACAGACCGTCACCGTCATGTTTATAATTCTCTCTTTGGTGTAAGCCCACGAGCACGGGTGTATTCCGTAAAGATTCAATATCATCAGCGTTGAATCCTTGCAACTCAGCAATCTGTGAACAGTTGTGACATATTGCAAACTGTTCATTTCAACTGGACAGTTACACCTTACTCTCATAACAAGACAAGACTCCTGCAGTGGCTATCGAACCTGGCTATGTAGACTGTGGTGATGCCGGCTTCTAATATCCTATGGTTCAACCTATCACTGCAGTATTGTAAAGTCAACACCTAATTTCCCTACGCGCACACGTGCATTGATGGTGACGTCCTACTGACACGTGCCCCGTGCAATTCTTATAATCGATTTCACACGCTATTTAAGTTCCGTTCAAGTAAGCATCTCTCAATATTTATATTTTACTGTGGTTTACAAAAGTCACACATCCTTAAGCGCCGCAAACCCCTTTAGGTATTCTAAAGTTCCTGAGTCTTTACCCTTTAAATTTAATTAAGTGAGGGAATGAGTATACACGTTGAAGACTGTTTCGGTTATACCACGGGTCGAAAGCTCGAAATGATACAGGTCAAAGATGGATTTCACTTTGGTGAAACTCTATAGCTGTGTCTACGTTGCTGATAACTAACCCACTAACTAGTAATGACGAATTAATGAACGAAACATTGAGATAGGATTCTGGCACGTTTCATTTATTTAGGATCACAAATTCCGGCGATTTAAATGACTGAGCCAGCGGTCTCTCTCTCTCTCTCTCTCTCTCTCTCTCTCTCACACACACACACACACACACACACACACAAACACCACACACACACACACACACACACACACTCACCACACACAGGCAAAACTGTAGTCACAATTTCACTAGCACCTCACTGATTGTGATACTCACAACAAGAAACGTAAAGTACAGTTTCCGTAACAGGTGACAATCTGGTGGTCTGTAGTCCAAATGCACCAGCGAAGCTCAGTCCAATATATCCTTTATCTCTTCGTGATAATCACAAAAGAAAGCGATAAACGATTGCTAGTTGCACTTGCCATCTCCCTTCGCCACAGAAGAGTCTATACACATCTAGCATTCCTGTTCGATCCGCAGCTTAAGGTTTTAAGCAGGTAGTCAAACGCCAGCTGAAGGATTGTTTGTTTTGAGATCTGCGTTAAAGTTGACAAAAAAAGAAGTTAATGCAAACGGATTTTGATTCTCGGAGGGTGTAGAAAGATCGCTTAGTTGGTAATCTTTGACCGGTGGCGTAAAGGAAATCAAACATTGTCTGGACACGTGCGAGACACGGCCTTCATTGAGACAAGGGTGTACACAATACAATACGAGGAACACAAGGCGATAGGGTATTGGTGGGAATTTTTGTTCATGGGTGTTTGGGAAGCTTGGTTCTTTTTCTTTATTTTTGAAAGTAATTTATTCCAGAAAATGCTGTAGAAATAAATTGGTATCACGGTTTTTACAACAACATACCAAAATACACGCAGACCAGACAAGGAAGGGGCTTCTCCCAGGAAGCGCTGCCTGGTCAAACCCACCCTGAAGTTTTTGGAGAATGTTTCACTGCATATATTTTTACATTACCCTTGTCAGAAGGGCTTTATTTATGGCAGCAAACCCGGGTACTTTCCCAATTTCAGTCAACAGATTGGGAGGTACCAAAACCTAGGCAACCAGAACAATGGGAAGTCGGACAACTTGGTATTTTGAATTAAAGCGTGACATTTCGAAAGCGAGGTTAGCAGCATAATTGCCACGTCTTTCTTGAATCTTGTCAATCACATTAGTGTCAAAAGGGACAAAGTAAGGACAAGATCAGGTCTGTAGGCTTGGATAGGTCTGAGGCTGTAAACGGGCCTATTCCAAGGAATTTTGTATTGATCATTTTCCATGACATCCTTTACATATTATGGGTCGTACCATGGATAGACCTCTGTGTCAAGTATTCCAGGTTTTTTTCATGGCGTGACAACTTAATGCAGGGGAAAAGCTCGAAGTTTTGCAGGAGGTGTACCACGTGGAACCCACGAGTACCGGTGTTGACAGACCATGAGTGCCACAAGGATGCAAGTCGAACCCATGACCTCTACACAGCTAACTACGGCCCCACAGACAACATGGCCGCCTGCGTCGCCAATACAAAAAGACGCATCGCACACAGGGAATGTTTCACGTTGACGGTCAGGTGTAGTCTGGCTGTTGTCTATAGAGAAGCCAAGAAAGCACCGTACTATGGTGACAGGGGTTGATAAATGCATCAGTACAGACAGGGCTTTCTGACGTTCCTCACATATACCTATTACCTACACTAGCGGTATGCAGTTGGCTGATAAACATTAATTATCTCCCTTGGACAAACAACACGCCAATGATGGCTCACTTAAGGCATAGATTTAATAGCGACAATACATTTAAATTATTTGTACACTCGGTTATTTTATTGATACAAACTACATGACAAAAATAACACACACATGCAGAAAAACACGCATGCAATACTTGTGGCGAGGGGCGATAGAAGGGAATTTCCTCTGGCCCACTGGACGACAAAAGTCATAATTTGAACTGAAAATAAAAACTCGTTCCTCCATCTTGAAATATCAAGGGTCAAGGCCATTGGTCTAGTGCCCCGGATGAAGGAAGCGTGATGTGACACGTTCTGGTAGTAGTTTACTGTTGAGGGCAACCCCGCGTAATTACCATCTGGAACGAGATGATGACAAATGTAATGCATATTCCACGTATCAACTAATCTTACCCAAAGTGCATCAAACATGGATCTGTTCCTACCTAGAGGTGCCTTTCATTTAATACCACAAACAGAAAGTAAGTAACTCAATGAATTGTATGTCTACATTAAGTCTTGCATGGGAATTTGTTAAACTGAATGAAAATACAGATAACAATTTTATATTGTCATTATTGTTGACGTTAGATATAGTTCCTATTGCTTATATCATAATATATTGATACTATTATATGATATGTAATTTCCAGTTCCTCTGAATGTTTTTCTTCGGTTTCTTGTCGTGAAGAGGCAGATGAGTAGCAAGTTGTTCGATGCATCACATGGGTACCATGTTTATCACATGGTGTCCCCCGCCGTGATATTGCTGGCATATTGCTAAAGACGGCGTAAAACCATACTCACTCACTCACTCTTACCGAAAACAAAGTGGACATTTACAAACCTCGTCAAGGTGAACACAGGTATTTTCTCCGGGGAGAGTCAAGGGGCAGTCAGTCGTCTTGATGTCCCCTGAAGAGTACGAGTAATGACACATGTCAATTGAGGCAAATGTGGATTGCATGGTTTCAAATCAAATCATTTAAAGAACAGTTTACTCAATTACTAACCTACATTTGCAATCAGCACAAAGTGGTTTAACTGCAACATACAACAATAAAAGCGACAAAACCGTTTCAATCATCATAAGAAGAAGTATCTGCTTAAAGCATAGCCGGTTCTACGTTTCCGACTACATCATGAGCATGTGTTTAGGAATCATTGGACTACCAAGATCAATCAAACGGCAACCTAACACAGCCTAAATTCACTTGAAAAAGCAATCTCACTTCAGTCTACCACTGCCTAGATTCTCTTGAAAAAGCAATCTCACTTCAATCTACCACTGCCTAAATTCACTTTAAAAAAGCAATCTCACTTCAATCTACCACTGCCTAGATTCACTTGAAAAAGCAATCTCACTACAACCTATTGCTGAAATATTGCTAATAGCTTTGTAAAGTAATATTCACTCACTGATATCCACCATGGCATAGCTAGGACACTGCGGATTTTAAAGACTTATTCATCAGATGAGGGCTGTTAAGAAAATGTTACTGACCTGAAAAGAGGCTGGATCTGATGCAGATGGCGCTGTTGACGCTGACCTCCAGGACGTTATCTTCGTACCGGATGTCCACGTCATTCCATCCAGTGCCCTGAACCAGGGTATAGAACTCACAATTAGATCAAGGGTACAAAGACTGACAAAAGGCAAACCCATGGTTGGATGTTCAGATCTCAACGTTATTTTCTCAACTTTATTGCAGGTGTATGCCTGTTTACAGGGGGAATGTACACAGAAGCAAAGAATATGGAAAATTTCTTCATCCTACTCGTGCACTGGGCAGTCACAGGGGACGTCAGATGTCTAATTCAATGTGTTTTGCTACAGAACAAAGCGAGACCACATACATTTGTTTGTTTGTTTGTTGTTTAACGCTGCACTCAGCAATATTGCAGCTATATGACGGCGTTCTGTACGATGACATGAATCAACCAAGTCAGCGAGCCTGACCACCCGATCCCATTAGTCGCCTCTTACGACAAGCATAGTCGCCTTTAACGGCAAACATGGGTTGCTGAAGACCTATTCTATCCCGGATCTTCACGGGTCCAGAAATATCGTTCCTACCGATTGTGTCAAGGTGCATCCCTCCCTCGTTGGCTGAACGTCATTTTCGGATTCGAACTCCATCGAGAACTCCCTGGACCACGGCCGGTACGACACTCTCAGCGTGGGGGGCAGTCTGTTGACGTCCGAGCAGCCGTTGTGAATTACAGTTATCTCCGCTGAAGGGTTGTTGTCACAGGGCTTGAACCGGAAGGTGATGTGGAAAGACTTGCCCAGGGTGTTGCTCTTGAAGAAAGGGATGGCGACGCTGGAATCTTGGAACAAGGCACAACCTCCGCCAACAGCGGTGTGGTCTTGGATGACGCGGGCGTTGTCGGCGTTGGTTCGTTTGAGCCAAAGACCACGTGACTGGTCCTCGATGGCCTGGTCAAAGGTCATGTTCAACATCACGAGGCATGGTGAAGGAACAGCTGTGAAAAAAATTAGATATTGGAAAAATACTGATAACATTGAGGCGATACTTTTAGTTAAGAGGTCAACCCGTGCATTTGACTCCAGAAAAATATCAGACGACTTCCTGTTTACTGACTACAATCAAATGACAAGTTTGAGTCACCTATAGAGCACTAAAACAGTATTTCGAGTGAGAGGGTGAGTATGGTTTTACGCCGCATTTAGCAATAATCCAGTAATATCAATGAGCTCCAAATATTGTAACAATGTTGGGAATCGAAACCTGGTCTTTGGCGTGACGAGCGACAGCTTTGACACTTTGAAATTGAGGATACAGTATGGGGCTTCTTTTCGGGACATCCATATTTGTGTAAAGCACCCAATTCCTCCCATCCCGTGATGTAACCATGGTTATCATGCAATGCCTGGATACCTCACAGCAAACTAACCCCTTGCTGCAGTCCATGTAATTACTCAATCACGAAATATGCATTTGCAGCATACCAAGTCTTAAGATTGATTAACCGCTCCGAACTCTTGTCGTGCCACTTTCTCTAACAATCGTATAGGTTCTTACAGAGGTGGGACAGAAACATATCTGATTCAAAAAAATAATAATAAACTAATGGGTCAGCTATCACTACCAGTTCTCTTTGAAGGGTTGGTGAGTGTGCTTTTACTCCCCTTTTAACAATATTCACACATTGAACTCTTTAAAAATTAACCACAAGGCTACCATCCACCGCCCTACCCTTTCAGAAACTTTTTCATTTCACATGTCCATTCAAACAAGATAAAATAAAATAACGGGTTAGATATTACTATAAGTCCTCATTTTAGAAACACTTACATTGCACACGTATATATCTAAATAATATCATTTTCATATCGAAAAATTACCTGGCACCTTCCTTGGTAAATACGATATAGAAATATATGAGCCATATATTGATTCACACTGAATGGAGAAAATGTGCTTGCAGGACTTGTCTTTGTTAGAGACAATATATTTTCGGTCATTGAAATCAAACATATTTCTTAGAATGAAAAAACAATTATTTTTCCTTCATAATCAGGACCTTTACAGAATATCAAATAGCCGATTCTTTAACAGTTGCAAGAGGTGCAGATAGCGAAAAAAACATATAGGGGCATAGTGACCAATGAGGGCAACGGGTGGCCCAGTCGTCTAAGGCGCCGCCATTTGCTTTGCAGACTTGCGTCCCTTGGGCACGCCAGAAATCTATGATTGTGGTTCGAATCCAGGTTCGCCCGGATTATGTTTGTCAGCACCGTACCCGTGCTCGTAGGTTCCGACAAAGTGTTAAACGTCTGAGGCATGCATCACGTCGGCCTCTCCCCCAACATCAAGCTGACGCGCCATGATATAACTGTAAAATGCGGCGTTTAACCCATCTCACCCACTCACTCACTCATGTCACACCTAACTAGTTCCTACCTTGACTCTGGTCCATCTTACGAGGGGGGAAGGTCCTATCCGGGCCCCACTCACACCTGCAGGTGTTCTGGTCCCATACAAGTCCGGTGTAGAAAGGCCAGTTACAGTCTTCTGTGATCCAGCCGTTGTCAGTCTTCCTTGCGTACATGCTAGGGTTCTCTGGGTGGGGTTGATGGAAGCCGCAGTTTGGGCCCTCCGCTCCCGGGTCTTCATTAGGGACGGGCGTTGCAGGTACAGGGGTGGTGGTGGCTGGGGCAGGGGTGGTGGTCCTCCTGTACCCGTCTGTACACTGACAGGCATCCTGGTCGTATATCTGGTACAAAGGACACTCTTGGTCGATCCATTGCGACCTCCAGCCGTTCCGGGAGAAAATCTGATAGGCGTTTTCCTGAGTTGGGTGAGGCCGTTTTACTCCTCTGCGGCATTCTAAAAGAAACATTGCTTGTATTTACTGAAGCCACTTAAACTAAGGGACAAAAGAAACTATACCTCTCAATTTATTTTATCATATGTTTGATTTTCAAGTTAGCGATGTTATACCAAAAATAATAAACTGTACCTGCGCTGAGTCAGCATGCAAAAATATGTCTACATGGTTTTATCTAAAATAATATAATTGGATATAATACTTTTAAAAGAAATGATAAAGAAAACATTCTCAAAATACACAACTATTGATGGGTATTTTTGAAAATAAATATATTTGCTTTTTTCACCACAAATTTACAACATTAGAAACATGGAAAAGGTCATGTGGTTGCAAATTCATTGAACCAATTTAGTTTTACACAAAATTTCCAAGCCACAGATTATTTTTTACAAACAGTAGCAGTTGCAGGAATGGTTAAATAGACTTAATCAAATTTAACAAGAGTTTTTCAATGTTCAATTACATAAAAACAAACTCAGTATACATTATTTTCCCCTCAGTCTAGATTGTTCTCTATGTTTTTTGGAACAAATTATTTTCTAGAAAAGCGATAAGATCAGATCAGTGATAAGATGATATATTTAATAAATGGGTACATGCCACATGCCCCTCGCCACTATGCTTCCACAATAACCGATTATGGTTAATAACATACCGTCATATTTACATTATATTTGAGGCTGGATAGAATCAATATTTACATGCATATTTTATCATTTACATAACTTTATGACACCTTTTCGAGAAGTACTGGCAATCAATTCAACAGATTTAAATATGCTAGATTTTTTAACAGAAAAAATAAACGTTTTAAACGTAATGAATAATAGAAAATTAAGATAAAATGATATTCGTCCTCAATTTTGCTAACAATTTTGTTCAATACAATATATCATCTCCTTTACAATACTTATATATACCAGTTTCAATTCTTAGTTTATGGTGTGTTATTCTTAAGGTGGAGATTTATTTTCTTTTCTTAGAATGCATTATATCTAAATACATTTCACATGCAAATGTATGTTTACTATTATTATACGAACAAAGTAGCTTGCTACAACCTGTTACACAATGGTAACTCCCTGTAATATTAAAATGCCGTTTCCTTGTCAGTTTGGTTGTGGTATTAAGAAAAAAGCTGCATGGCAGCTATGAAACCTTTAAGCATTTAATCCTGTACTGCTCCCAATTCAAATGAATCAATAACAAATTAGCTGTATTAACGGAGGGTTATAACGAAGTTTTTCTGTTAGATTCAAATTTACAGCTATCGATGAAGCTTAACAGTTTTTGAAGCAGTAAGCATTAAACGGAATCATATATGAAAATATGAAATTATGAAATTACCATTATCATGTTTAGCAGTACAAGTCCTAGCGACTACACTTTATTTGTTAGTATCAGGTTATTAGCATCAACGTATTAATTGCTGATATACATGGAAGACAAGATCACCAGCGTAGAGCTGGTTCTTACGGAATGTTATTTTTGTGTGTTTGTAAGTGCTGTTGGTCCCAAATATACATATTATGGGATATGCATTTTGCTCTAGTTCATATCACACGCAATATTAATAAATAAAAACAATTATGCAATTGGAGAATTAAAACATTTAAACAATTAAACAAAGTCATATATATGAAAACGATTAAGACGGAATATCATCTCTTCAGTGTCATTTCGTTTCGGCTGATTTGACTTTTGGTATGTTTAATTATTGAACAAATGAAGCGATGATTCTTTTTCTTAAACGGACGAACAGCTATGTTATCATATATCAACCCATATCAAGACTCAGCCCGTAAAAAATAAACACATTTACCAAAATAATAACATAAATTCTTATTGTTTCTCTGGAAGTAGTAAAAAGGATATATTCGAAGCATGTTCGGTTATAAAACATGTATACGTACAAACTCATTAACAACTGTATCAAAAAACCACCAGAAGCAATGAAGTCAAACAAAAACAAATATCCATTTGGACCCACTCCAAACTGATAATCTTTTACACTTACCCATATCACGCGAAAAAAAATATAATCTATTATCACCCGCTTGTGGAAAAAAGGCAAAGCCTATTGGAGTTAACAAAATACTTACCATTCAAATTTTGTCCCCGCGTAAGCACGACCAATGCAGTCACCAGGACACAAGACAATTGATTCTGAAATGCAACAAAACGGATCGCATAAAAAATCTGAGAAACAGACATGAAGCATTCGTATTTCATATAAATTAAGGAAAGATTAAGTTTGTATATGACTGCACCGTTGATGAAGAATAGCTGTATCCAGTAGCATAAGCATACATGTTTATATTGGGTTTTTACTGAATTCAAATAGTCCAATATCCGTATTCCAAAAGTGAACAGTTTCAAGTTATTATTTTTTGTCATGCAATCTTTACATGTCTCCAAGAGACAGATTAGATGGGTAAAACCAATCTAATCATACAGTGTTTCTATCACACCTGAAACACAACATAGTCTTCATAAAAAATACAGTATGATAAACATACAAACGAAGATTGAACCAATTACTGATAAGTTAACTTACAAATTTACAAACATGTTATGAGGTGTATTCAGTAACGTAAGTGATATAATCACAGGATAGGTCCGCTTAAAGTTGCGATAATACTACATACCTTGTACATAGTTATGCTTCCAGTGTTAAAATAAATTAAATAAAGACTGAGAAAAACTCCTTTCTTTCGTTTTATACTCGGTCCTTCGAGCGTCCTGCGAAAGTCAAATTGTCCGAAGGTGGAAAGCGGCTTATGGGTGATTTTCTCTACTAATTGATATTTACATATCCAATATCTTTCGCGTGGGCAATCTCAGTTTGACCAATGAAAGGCCGTGTTCGTGAGACTACGTCATAAGGTCAAAACAACTTAGAAAGTTGCGTGCCCAGAGAAACGTGTCCTTCAAGAACACGCTTGTTTGTTTGTCATGACTACCTTGAGACATCACTGATACTGAAAAGAGCAGAATAACTTGTGCCTGCGTTCATAAACAAACTTTACTTATTGTCTTACGTGACTAAACGCCATTAGCACTTTTATGCATTTCTTTCTTCTAAAAAGACTGTTTATAGGTGAATAGACTGTTTTTAATATCTCTTTTTGAATATACACTCAGAATTAAAGGAATAAAGCTGATGAGAAAGTGATGATCATTGTTTAAAACAGTCAACTATGGAAACATTCTAACCACAAATGATATGTGCACTTACATATCAGTGTTACACCATCCTAAATAGCTAAATGACAGACTTGTTATATAAAACTGAAACCTAATCCTCAACTTATTCTAGTCATAATGCACAGGCACATAAACCAATACTAGAAAACCGCAGGTACATTTGAACTAGAAATGGTGTACGTCTTGGCCTTATAACAGCCAGGGCGGGCACTTGCTTCGTTCCTCAAAAACAAGCCTCATGGATTAGTGATGGTTACTTGCGTTTTCTGTTTTATTTTCCTATTTGAACAATGTCTTCTTTCCTTCTCAGCAGAGTAGTGTTATTGTTTGTCCGAAGTTTAAAATTTCTGAGACAAAAATGTCTCCCTAAACAAGCTAAGTTTACAAACGGATATGAGTTCGCGGCGTCCAGTATACAGTGATATTTGTGACGTTCCGGCAAGAGTCAATGTCGTTTGTGTTGTCAAGATGATTGGATAGGCAGGTTAGAACGTGTCCCTTCACTGGTTGAGAAACACAGCATATATTATTTCAGAAGGTAATGTCAAAAGTTGCGGGTTCAAATGTATTTTTGATGTTGTACGCCAGCTTAGCCTATAGCAGAGTCCTCACTTACGGTATACACACACACCTGCAGCCAATACGGCGTAGCCACACTTCATATACCTAAGGGAATAAGCAGTTTCTACACGTTTTGTAATTGCACTATTTTAATTACTTTTGTAAATTTTTAAGAAAGCCGTAAATCAATAGAACGTTGTTTTTCAATTCTCTGTGCAATGTGAAGACCGTCAGTTTAATCCTTCAATAAGCATGTGCGGTTTTTGTAAATTCTCGCATACCAGAAAGGAAGAGCATGGAAAGAGAAAAACTAAAGCTGAAATACTACCCAAAACGTTCGTTAAACCTATGCCCAGATCATGCACTAGTGGAACCGGACAAGAGTAAATAAATAGGTTTCCAAAGAGATTGTTTCAGTCCCTATCTATTAATGTTAACAACAGAAGAATTAAACGACCGTTAAACCTGTTACCAGATCATTCACCTGTGCATCTTGCCATAAGAAACTTGATAGGTGGTGTTCAAGGAGATAGTTTCAGTCCTTACCTATTCATGTTAAAAACAGAAGACAAAAAGCGTCAATGTCTTTCCATTTTGAGTTGATGTTGCAAGAAGAAGTTCCCTTTACCTCAAAGAAATACATGTAAATGTTTCAAAATTTTCAGCTTGGAATGTACTACATTTTTATAACAAGTTGCGACCTTTCGGATAAATACATGCTTGTTTTATAGTAACATGGAATATGCATGACACTTAATTACACACCACTCAAAACAGAACACAACTAAAACGTGTCAAAAATTACATTTATTGGCAACATGAACGGTATTAGTAATATATCACAGAATATTTTAGCATTTAGCTTGAGATGAAGCATTCACAGGTTGTTCGACTTAGGCTGAAATCTAATCACTTTATGTAAGAGCAAAATGGAGATAAAATATGTTACTATACATTATCAGAACCTAAACAAATGAAACCTAAACAAAAGAAAATTGTTTTAATTAGTTTAAAAATATAATATATCCCAAAAACAAAACAAAGTAGTTTTGCTCAATATGTGTTTGAAATAAATTGTCAGATTAAAGTAAATATTCGTAAAATATTACAAATTAAGAACAAATGTATACATTCAACTGTGGTTAGTAAAACGAATTGGTTACAAAATAAAAAATACATTTTGAACTGAATAAACGCCCTAGGTAGCCCATCCCTTATAAAATTAAAGGTGCCCTATGTAACAAAATACATCACTTACGAATAAACAAAAACATAATTGTTCGGATTCGAACAATCATTGTATTCTGCAAACGGTTATCTGTGCTTCCTGGCCTTCGTTGCATAAAGCGACGTAAGTGCTACGACTATCGTTAGTACGTTCTAAGATATGCGAGTTACGATAATATTACAGCCAAGATCGTTTTGTGGAAATTGGTTCAACGCTCAGGTTATTACTCAGCTCGCTGTGCACCTGCTTTTACGATGTTTGTACGCAGTAACATTAATGTCTCGCGATTCCAACGACCATGTCTATATCACAGAAAGAGAAAGCATCGTCAGTAACATTAGAATGTTATGCGATGATCACATTGGCCTCATGACACTAACCAATTACAGTAACAATGCTGCGGCAACATTTAATATTATTAAAGAGTTTTGTCGATGATCTGTTGCTATATGCGACGTAAAGGTAAGTCACTAAATGTTTGATAATCTGATTTCGTTTTCTTCCGATTTCAGTGTTGATCTGAATGTAACAGTGAGTGAACATTTTACTGTGGTTATAACTCATCAAAGAAAAATTATTAATACAAAATAAAAACTTTCTGTCTGCTTTAATAAGTTTATACGGACGCGCCAATAACCAAACATAACATTTTGAATGGCATTTAAAAGTGATACGCATAAGGAAGAGAATTTATGGATATCAACTTCTTTATTATGAGTGAGTGAGTGAGTGAGTATGGTTTTACGCCACTTTTAGGAATATTCCAGCAATATCACCGCGGGGGACACCAGAAATGGGTTTCACACATTGTCTGGGTCTTCGGCGTGACGAGCGAACGCTTTATTTTGCGCAACACGTTTTGGAGTCTATACCTGATAAAGGAGTAAGAACATGCTCCGAGCTGTTGTTCCTCATAATAAAGACGTTGACATCCACAACGTCTCTTCCTTATTATATTTTTACTTTTGGATTTCCGTTAGTTGATCCGTATGTACTGCCTTATACATGTTAATAGCAGGGGGACTTGTGGTCCCAAATCCTCGTGACTGTACATTTACATGTTGTAGGTTCCAAATTATAATTCCCGGGCATGAAATTCAAAGTAACACCCGCCTAATTTTAAATCACACATTCAACTTTACTTTAAGGCAGTCGCTGCTCGTCGGAACTTTACCTTTAGTTAACGATTCTGCAATTCCCGTATCATGAATACGTAACAATGTAATATTAGTGCTATTGTAGCACTTACACGTTAGATCATCTGACTTCTTTTGGCATATAAAGTAAAATACTATGTTTTTGTTTTAAAATAATCTGTAAATCTCTCCGGCAATCACTCATGGTATTTCGCACCAATGAAGCAGTTTCACGAGATGTTTTATACTTAATAAAATATACTTTATATACGTAATATACTGCAAAAATAAACAATAAAACTCAACAAGTTTCTACAACATGAAAACCTTTTTCATAAAAGTGGTACACCTTCATAACAAATACCAGGGACATAAATACTGTTTTCATAAATACATTCATAACACCGTTTAAACGATAACAAATCTCCGTTTGGTCTCACGGGGGAGTGTCATTGAAATGTAGTATTAATTCTCGAGGACTATGGTCCTCTATTACAAAAATAGACATCACATATAAATTCCTTAGACAACAACTACGCGTTTATAAATGCGGCGGGAAATACATGACACCAAAACATGACATTCCGCTGAGTTACAGGAATAGGAGTGAGTGAGTATAGATTTACGCCGCGTTTACCAATATTCATACATATACTCATGTGGGAATCGATCCCGGGCTTTCGGCGTGATGAGCGAACACTTTCACCACTATGCTACTCCATCGCACCCTAAAGAAATAGGTAAATATATTACCAGTAACAAATATTTTTTATAGGTGAACATATTAATGTCACGTAAATGTAAATGTATCTAAATTTTCTAATCCTCACTTAAAGATCTCAGAAGGAAATTGTTAATTTCGGTTGACCTGATATTTCCATGCATAATAAGATCACTGAGCATTGTGTCCGACAGGATATACATGTACGTGACGTCCGTCCAGAAACTCAACAATTGATTAGTTATATTAACAGGTGAAGTGATTACATTTGTATATTTTTTATATATGTTTTCTTTTGTAGATAAAAAGAGTGCCAGGATCGTCTTGCAGATAGAACGTTTCCCCGCAACATCGAAGATCCGGGTTCGATTTTCTTCACAGACAAAATGGTAAAACTTGCTCTTTGATTCCCCATGTTGCAACAGTATTATCAGAAAGGAATACATTCACGAACTCTTCCCTATAAGGAAACCCCCTAAAGTACTGAGAATACACTGCAAGGAAACAATGACAAACATCAACGAGATCATTCTTTGGGATTCCAGCATCACTCCTCTTCTCCTGAGAACCAGTGGCAAGAACAACTCATACACCAATACCACACACGCCAGGTCTAGCAACAACACACTCTCTTGCAGAAACTCGTTTTATCTTCTTTTGGGGGATTCTGAGTGCGCGTGAAGGTCAAGAATACTTGTTCCAATGTGGTTTGATGTACTGAATAGTCCTCAACGCCGAACTGTGACTTGGTGTTCTCCATCAGACTGAACACCTGTGCCAGTCGAACGCTGGCATCCGGAATCTGGAAGTGGGCGTAGCCCTGGTGGTCATCGAACACCTGGGCGTGGGGGTAGTTGGCCTTAATGAAGTCGATTAGGGGCTGAGTTGGGGCGTTTGTCAGTCCATTGTCCATAACGCCCATTCTAGCTATCAGAGTGTACCCCTGACCAAACTTGTTCTTCAGATGTTGTGGCGTTCCCAAGCAGACGAAGCGGCCATTGACCATGATAGCTATTCTCGTACATAGAGCATCACATTCCTCCATGCTGCGAAAAGATACAAAAAGCTCTTAGTATAAACTTTTAACTTATGGATATAATGACCTGATAGATGTGTTAAGGCTCCACATTCCGTCATTCCGACTTTTGTATAACTTCCGGCGTACCGGAAGTATGGATTTTTAGAGTATGAATAAATGGCGACGAGATGAGCATGTGTTGGTGTCGTTCTCAGTAATATGGCGAATTAACAAATGGTAGCAGAGCGTGTCCATATAGCGAAGGTTGTCATTTTTCCTGTACAGTTCCTTTTAAAACTATATAACGTAGACGCCACAGAATAATCAGTCTCGATTATCTGCCGAAACAGATTCCACTTGGAGGATTTAAGGCAAACTAGTGGTGAAAATCATATGAATGAATAACTGTCAATCAATGCCTACAAATCGTTTATTTCTTCTTTCCGATGACTAGTTGGATTAATGCAGAGTGTTTATCCATGTCAGTCAAATATTTCAAATCACAATAACATGCCTCCGATTCAAGCAGCCACATCACCCCGAACTGAAATAATTACAATACATAAATTCTTTCTTAATTCGAACCCGTAGGCAGTCGACAGATGGGAATATCATGTCTTCTCATTCCATACCTGTGGGAAGTCAGAATAAGGGTCCTGCCGCACTCCCGGACCTTTGACAGGACGTTCCAGAGCTGCCTCCTGGCCTTGGGGTCCATCCCTGTGGACGGCTCATCCAGCATGATGAAGGCCGGGTCTCCAACCAGAGCGATGGCGGTGCTCAACTTACGCTTGTTTCCTCCACTGCAATCATATACCACCATCAAAGAAATGTGCAGATTTGAACATATTACGAGGTGAGCTATTATCTGTTTTATGTTCAGGTTTTGTCTGAAAGATACCCGAGAGAGTGAATGTCCTCTTACGCCACAATATTACAAATATATCGTGGCTGCTGTAAATACTTGATCCTGAATCATGTAGATTGGTAATTCATGGCGCGATCAACGATCCAGACATAACCTATGTGTAAAATATACGTAAGAGCCAGCCCGAAATATCCACAAGATGTGATTTCAATATTGTCCATGTAACCATCCGATACCCATTGCAACTGCATCCTTGGATAACAAGGCGGCGCTACTGGCAAGAGGATGAAACATATAGCACTGACATATTCAAGGATCTATAGACATACCAGCTAACTCAATTGAATGAGGGGATGTTGTTCTAAGCCTATTTGACAATATACCATCGGCATCACAGTGACACAATCATTGGCTACCCGCAGGATCATCGGCCCAGCCATCGGGACAGCATGACACACAATAAACAAGGGGCCCCACGAACCAACCTTACCGCTACGCCTGTCTTCATTGAATGTTAAAATATGAGAATTTCGATCGTATTGGCGCCCAGATTGTTTACAGGAACGGGACCGAGGCCACACCATAACCTGCTTAATACTGGTTCATACAGTTTGATCACTGTGAACCTTTTCTTCCCCGAGATCCCTAGGGAGGCTTCGGTGCAGTGCAGGACTCGATAGAGAAACTAGACAAAACCCTCTTTCGGAATGTGCATGCCGCTATTCATTTCAAGTGCTTATATTAACATGTAGTGAGTTAGTGAGGTGAGTTTACAATTCGTACTATTCTAGCAAACCCATGCCCATAAAACATATATGGTACACATATGAGCAATCGAACCCGGGTTTCCGTGTCAAGCTGACGCTTCAGCCACTAGGATACTAGCCCCTTTATTTACCTGTAGTTCCCAGTTGGCCTGTCTCCATACTGCTTCAGCATCATGATATCCAGAAGGTTGTCACAGACGCCTTTGATGCAGCTCTCCGGCACTCCCTTGAGTCTGGCGTACAGGGTGAGAGTCTCTCGTCCTGTCATCTGCTCAATCAGGGCGTCAAACTGGGGACAGTAGCCCATGTTCTCCTGCACCTATTTGAAAAGCAACAATTTGGGTTAAACACAATACGTACGAAATATAATGAGTGAGTGAGTTGGGTTTAGCGCCGCTTTTGACAGTATTCCAGTAATATCGCGGCGTGTCAGCTTAATGTGGGAGGAAAGCCCGACGTGATGCAGGTCTCAAAGGTTTACCACTTCGATGAAACCCACGAGCACGGGTATGGTGCTGACAAACCTAGAAACATAATTGGGGCGAACCGGGATTCGAAACCACAATCATAGGTTTCTGGCGTGTCCAAGGGACGCAACTCTGCACTGCGATTGGGCAACCTGTCCCCCCGAAAGGTAATGAGTAAGTAAGCTCAGGCTTTTTTTAACAGTAGCTCAGTGATATTATCACTATCAGTTTAATAAGGAAGGAAAGCAAATAGTGACACAGGTTGTGGAACCATACAATTTTGATTAGACCTACTGGAATGGATATGGTGCCGACAAACCACAGATCATTATCAGTGCGAACATTGGCTTCGAACCCACGACCAGTGGATCCTAGCACATTTCAGCTAACTCTGCACAGTCAATTGTTGTTTCTTAAACCCACGTGGTTTACACTGAGCCAACCAATTGCAAAAAGAAAATATACAGAGATGTTTTTTTATGTCATTGAAAATTGAAAGAAGTATATTTAAATTTGGTAATGTCAATTTAACCATCACTCATTCCTGTAACAGTCTGTTAAAAGTAATTTTATGTAAATTTGTGTAAAAATAAATCGGTTCAATGAAGACAAGGAGTAGGATTTTCAACAGTAGTTGTGTTAATGCGAATAGATTTTTTTTATTTTTAAACGTTTTAAATTAAATTTATTTAGAAAAAATAAAACCATGTAGAAGTGTTCTTTAAGTGCTGACCGGGCGGCAGTTCAGTTCATTTTGTCCATATAATGTCGCTAACCTAAAGACATTTTCAACTGAAAATCAAACATACGATAAAATCAACTTTTTCCTTGCCGCTTAATTTATATCGAAACTTGAACAGTATCGTTGAGCTATATACTACTAAAGCAACTGAGGACCGCCCGATTCTGTCATATTACTATGGTTAATGTACTGACAGATTAACTATAGCAATATGAAAGAATCGGGAGGTCCTTAACCTTTTTTCAGGAGTATAGATTTGTAAAGGAGAGCTTCTCAAACCTGTTGTGTATTTTGCTTGATGTCATATGACCAGAGGTAAGCATTCCCATTCGTCACCATCACATCTCCCGTCAACATCTTAAACGTCGTGGTCTTCCCGGCGCCATTTTGACCGAGAAGACCGAAGCACTCCTTCTCTGGTATCCCTACGCTGATGTGATCGACAGCCACAAAGTTCCCATAGCGTTTGTACAGATTCCTCAACACGAGTGCATCCTCTTTACCCCGGCTAGTCGGGGACGACATCTCAACGCGCTGTTTCTCGGCGGCTACATCGTTGTCTTCATTCTGAACGTTTTCCATGCGGTTGATCATGATGTTTTCCATTTCTGCTTCCTTAGGACGTAGGGCGTACCACACACGCTGGGGAATCTGGTACTCTATACACAGAGTCAGCGTAATGAACGCACAACCTTGCAGGAGCATAAAGACGAGAAACCGGCCTATACCAGGGGTGTCCCATTCCAGGTAGTTTGAGTAGAACTTGAGACACGTGCTGCCACCGCAGTTCCCTGGATAAAGTAGAACACATTCAACCACTGGCCATTAAATTAAATTAAATTCGCCTAGCAATGAAGTATTCATGACTTAAAGCAGATATCCATGTGTCGATTAAGCATTCGAAAGGACAATGTGGAAGAAATATACACTGAATTCACTCTATACTATTATCTGCATGACACGACTAAGCCCTCTGAAAACACCGAAAGTAATTTTCCTGAGCCTTTGCAACTGTGTCTTTTTTGCGAGTGTTTCCAAGTGGTCGTCGTTTTGCCGAGTCTTTGCAAGTGGTCGTCGTTTTACCCGAGTCTTTGCAATAAGGCGTCGTTTTCTTTCGAATTTTTGGTCGTTCTATAATCGACATTTCAAGTAGTTTGGGGAGCGAACTGGTTATTTCAGCAGTTGGTCTTTCGATATGCAAATTAGACAAAGAACATACTTAGTTTTAGCTTACTGCACACAACATTATTGTCCCCAGATGTCTAGGGCAGCAAGCATAATGTGTCAAAGTGTTTGATTTAATTTAGCTTTGAACCATATCTCAGTTATTTCACGGTGAGTGACGATCGGGTAGTCGTATCCCTTTTGCTGGAGCCCACGCCATACAGCCCGAATGACAGAGATGCTTGACTTTATTTGTTTGTTTGGTGTTTAACGCCGCACTCAGCAATATTCCAGCTATTTGACGGTAGTCCGTAAATAATCGAGCCTGGACCAGACAATCCAGTGACTGATATCATGAGCATTGATCCACGCAATTGGGATACGATGCCATGCATCAACCAAGTCAGCGAGCCTGACCACCCGATCCCGTTAGTCGTCTGTTACGGCAAGCATAGTTGCCTTTTACGACAAGCATGGGTTGCTGAAGACATCACGGGCAGCATGTTCAACGCGGTTCCTATTGAAAGAACTTGGGAAATGCACATTTATGTGAAATCCTTGTGAATTGTGTGTAGAACATTGTCATATGTATATAATAAAAGGCAGTAATACAAACAATTACAGTTATTTTTTCAAAACCTGATTGATTAGTTACTTCGCCGCTTCGTTTATCATATTATATTACGTTTAATGGTTAGTGTATAGGATACCCTTAAAGTGATCACTTCTAGGTCGAACATTACTGAACCTATGCTGAAAAAGACATTCCACTTACGAAATGGTCTATTCAAAACTTATGCATTATTACATAAGGTCTTGTAGAAACTTCGCACACATCAAATGGGAAAATAACATTATTTTTTAATAAGATCGTTTTATTTAAAATATACGACGAATAAAATAACCAATAAAGTAATTCAAAAACTCAATCGTCCGGAAATCCCGACTCCCGGACGAGTCCATTGGAAACAATTACATTAACGAGTTTCCGCAAATGTTATTGACTAATGGTTTGATAAATCAATCAAATTGTTCGACGGACCTTTACAACAAGGCATTGGCACGCCCTGAGCGCATAATGATTCGTAGTTGAGCTTGATGCAGGTATCCGCGACGACTTTGTTGACGTACATTTCGGAGAAGCACTTCCCCAGACAGTAGTGGGGGAACACAATGGAGAAGAGCCAGTCCAGGGCTTCCCCGACATCCTCCGTCCCCAGCCCTGGGATCATCAACACGAACGTCGCCAGCAGGGTCAGCAAACCTGGTGAAAGGAGGGTGAAGAGGGTCAGGAGGGTCATGTTTTCAGGCATATATCGAACAAATTCACTTGTCGAAGGAGTGAGTTGGGTTTAACGCCGCTTTTAATAGTATTCCAGTTATATCGCGGCGTGTCAGCTTAATGTGGGAGGAAAGCCCGAAGTGATGCAGGTCTCAGACGTTTACCACTTAGGTGAAACCCACGAGCGGGGGTTAGGTGCTGACAAACCTAAAACATAATCTGGGCGAACCGGGATTTGAACCCACAATCATAGATTTCTGGCGTGTCCAAGGGACGATACTCTGCACAGCGAATCGCGGCGCCTTAGACGACTTGGCCATCCGTGCCCCCACTTGGGAGCCACTACATGTAACACCGTACTAACACGTGCTTCAGTGTGGGGCACAACAGCCCTCGAAACTCCCAGGTGTCAAGCTGCCGAACACGACTCACTCTAACTCACCCATCCAGCTGCGCTCTGCTACCAACATTGTTTAACTTCGTCTCATTTGTGGCCTGTCCGCTGTACACAACACGTGCGAACATTTCGTTTTACGATTCATGCATTGCCAAATACTGTGTTGTTCAATGTTCATTTAAAAAGTCAATGTTCTACAGTTCGTTAATTCCACGTGTAACCCGGGACAGAAGTGGTCCCCTAGCATCCAATGCTGTCGTAAAAGCGTTGCTCATAATATCAACCATTGGTTTGGATGGTCACGCTAATGTACATGCCGCCGCGAAATAGCTGGAATATTCCTGACAGCTGCGTTAACAAAGTTCACTCACTCCCTCTTCAGGTTGAAACGTGAACGTGTCACATTCGGGAACAAGTAAGATCTGACCATTAACTTATCTTTTTTTCTGTTGAGAGGTTACAGTGAGTTGGGTAAAATGGTATTTAAGTTATCAGATGGTGTGTCAGCTTGATGTGGGAGGAAAGTCCGTAGTGATGCAAGCCTTAGACGTTTGAAACCCACGAGCACGGGTATATTTGCTGATTTTGCATGTTTAATGTTTACAGTCAGAAATATCCCAGCGATACCAGGGCGGACTGTACATAATCCACTCTGGACCAGGCGTTCTATTGGTCGGTATAAGGACCAACGTCCCACGCCTTCTTGGTACTTTGACACGCTATGGCCACAAAGTTGCTGAGTCTGACCATCGGATCCCCTTTTACGACAGCTGAGAACCAATTCTAACCCGGAATCTCCACGGGGCAGGGGTCACTAAAAACGCATTGAAGGAAACCTATACATGTCGTGTTTAATTCTTTCAAGGACTTGTTTTTGTTTGAATGTTTGAATGCATTTTAATGCCGCACTCGGCCATATTTCAGCTATATGACAGCGATGTGTAAATAATCTGGACCAGATAGTTCAGTACAGGCCTTTGCTATTATTTACAACGATCCAAGCAATTTGGTTCCACTTAAACACAACCAGCCAAGTCACCGACCCTGGACACCATTCAGTTGCCTCCTTGACAAGCATTAGTTTAGTGTAGTTAAGTCGGTGTTAGGGCGATGCTGGTAAGACACTGATGCAAGTAAAGACAATGGCTTACCTGACAGGATGTTGAGGATGATGATGATGACCATGCCGGTGGCTGGTGTTTTGAACATATACTGTAGCAGGTACATGAAGGGGAGGACTGACCAGCCGTAGATGATGAACACTAGAAGGATGAGGCCAAGTCGACCGTCCAGGACGTAAGCGTCAGTTTGAAACGCAGCAAAGACGGGCAACAGAACCAAACACGGAATGATGTAGTTGATGAAGTCCCAGGCCAAATTTGACATCCAGAATACAAAAGGTCCCACTCCACTGACGACCTGAAGATGCTTCGAGCCAACCTGCCTCTCCTTGATGAGGAAGTAGACGAAGGATGAAGTCAGGAAGGCCATACCAAAGAGGATGTTGAAGGCAATAGTAAACCCAAAGCTAGAAGCGATAAGAGCATTTTGTTCAGAAGCATCAGATACGTTCTTTGGAAGAGGATAACTTTGGGTTGTGATGGAATAGTCGGAAGATGTGAAGGACTTCAACATCCCGTTCATCATGTAGGCGAGGGATATGGGAGCGGCGTGATAAGGCTGGCCATTGTAGTAAGCTCTTGCAACCGTTTCGGATTGGTACTCTGCGCCTATGATCACTCTTTTGTTGTATGTGGACACACCAAGCTGGTCTGCCCTGGACAGGAGGTAGGTTGTCATGTTACCTTGACTGAAGTCTGCAAACTCAGCTGTGTCTCCACCGCCAAGCTGGCCAATATAGGATTGGGCAAAACTCTCGGTAAGCGTTACAGAGCCATTCTGGTAGGGTACGTAGGATCCTTCGAAGGGGCTGAGGTCTAGGACAAGGGATTCCTCGGATAACACTCCTGGTCTCGTCTTCTCCACTACCAGGGCCAGGATGGTGGCTATGACGGGTAGGACCAGCTGGACAACACTGATTAGTCGGTTTCGCCACGTGTGGAGAGCCTTCTTCACAAAGCAGCCCTTAAAGCGGGACAACTCCAGTTGTATTCCAGTGGCTTTCTTGAAGCCCTTGTTGAAGGCTACGTTCAAAAATAAAAATGGATTGCTTTAGTAAACACGTTCATTGTGAATGTGATTAATATGAACTAACTTTTTTGGATTAGACAGGGTCCTAAGGTCATTTGAGATAAAGGAAAACACTTTTCATATTTTGATCTAAGAAGTCGTATGAAGTTGTACAATATGAAATTAAAAACATCAATTAAGAGTCCCCACATGTACACTCACAAATTCAAGATTCGATATATATTATAGAGACATGACCTACTATAACACATGGCAAGGATAACAAAAGATTCACAAGGGTTCATGATTATAACTAAAATATTCTGTTTTTTTCCGTCTACATTTGATAAAGAACACATAAGAAACTCTTGAAATTTAATTATATTATTTATATTATAAGTTAAATTAAAGAATATTAACAACGCATCAATTCTAACATCAAATCCATTACGTAATAATACATGTCAATTTTGAAAATCAGAACGGAAGTATTTTGCAAAAATGCCTTGAATACATATTCACTTACCATAACAATAACACAATATAGAACATACCACCAATACAATTAAAGTAAATTAATACTACAGTGTGAGCGAGTAGTGTTTAACGTCGCTTTGAACATTATTCCAATTATATCATAAGGTGTGTCAGCTTGATGTGGGGAGGAAAATTATAATCTAAAAGTGATGAAGGTCTCAGATGTTTACCAGACTGGTGAAACCCACGAGCCCTTGTATGGTACTGACAGACCTAGAAACATCATCGGGGCGAACCGGGATTCGAACCCACGATCATAGTTTTTTTTGCCTGCCCAAGGGACATAACTCTGCACAGCCAATTGCGGCGCCTGAGACGACTGGATCCTCTGTGCCCCCTTTGATACGAGAGCATACAACAAAGACATAGGCTCTTACATAAGAAGTTGTCATCTTTGACTGATTTGGTCACACTTTCGTACGACGGGCTCTTGGCCATTCCGTTTTGACTGGGGACCTTGAGGCTACCATTGATCTCCTTCTCGTTGTCCATCAGAGGGTTGACATAGGACATCGTTCCAGACGGTCTGGTGGCAACGTCGTCCCCGGTGTCCACCTGGCTCTCGCCGACCCTGAAGTACAACGCTTCATATTACGAATACCGTTACAGAGAATAATCGTTACAATTAACCCAGCGTGCGACACCTTGTAACAATGTAATGTTTGTGGCACGCAATTTCTTGTATTTTTAACAGTCAGAAGCATTGTCATTTCTTTCAAGAATTTTCGGGGACAATATAGTTCTTTCGTTAAAATTCCAGATCCATTAACGCCCCTCTCTGAATATCATTTGGTCGGTTCTTTAGACGACTGAGTCACCCGTACCCCCTCAACAGGATTATGTATAAAATAACATCAGCGGGTGTCTAAATAATGTGAATGACAACCGTGAAGATCCGGGTTAGAATTGATCTTCAACAACCAAGCTTGCCGAAAGAGGCGACTGACTGGATCGGGTGGTCATTATCACTGACTTGATTGGTGCTTGTTTGTTATCGTGTCCAAGTTGCGTAGATCGATGCTCATGACGTCAATCACTGGATTATTTGGTTCAGACTCGATTATCTATTGACCGCCGAATATTGCAGAGTGCGGTGTGAAACAAACAAACAAACAAACAAAGCACCTAAAACGAACCACAGTCCGAACTCATGCAAATCTTCGCTTGTCCACTCGTGTTGCATTTTGCAATTATCTGCCGCAGAATTCGCCAAATACACTCAGAGCTCCAGATAAGCTTTTGGTTTGTGGGTATTTTACCCATGCATTTTAAAATCATTGGGTATCAGTAATTCTATCTGCGTATTCAAATTTCTGTTACCCACTAGTTTTTACACATGTGGGTATTTAAGTTAAATATTAAAAAACACTATTCATCTAGTCCAATGCTAACTGGTGTCGTGTGGGTTTGAGAGCTTTATAGGACTCAAAAATACCACGATACTTCCACAAGATAGTGTGATGGCAAATGATCATGATGTAACTGTCATCGTATCTGTAATGTTCGTTGCGTATTTGATACGCTTGGATTATATTTTACTGCGTATTTCTGAATTTCTGATGCGTATTTCACGCAGATACGCTGCTTATCTGGAGCTCTGACACTGCAGAATTTTAACATGTTAGCCGAAAGCTGGTTTTAAACGTGTAAACGGATAGTTATTAATTTTTGTATTGATATGAATTATAATTATCAAAATATTATTGCAGCATTTACAAAAAATGATTGCAGAAATTTTATATTTGGGCCGCGATGAATCGTGATGTGACTGACTGACTGACGTGAATCTGGTATTCCGGATATAAGATGACGTTAGTTGTCAAGTATTAAACCAGGGCCCACTTGCACAAAGCGATCTTAGCGCTAAGATGATCGTAACTCCCATGTTTTAACATAGGCTTACGATAGTCGTAGCGCTAAGATCGCTTTGTGCAAGTGGGCCCAGGATTTACTCACTTCAGAAACACTTCCTCCATGGTGGTGGCGGTAGTTCCAAAGCTACATATACCGAGTTCCTTCCCCTTGTTTTCAATCTCCGTGAAGAGAGCAGCAAAGTTGGCTGACTGGTCATCAGGCAGCAGGTAGGAGAGTTCAGCATTGATCTCACTCTCCATGACTGCTGTAGGGACGTGTTGCTGGACAACTTTCGTCACTGATGCCACCTGACAGGTGGGTTCCTTCACCATCACCAGGTGGTAGCCAGCTCCTGATAGGAAATACGTTTGCTTACGTTATTATGAAGCTACACTTAACTTAACAAACAACATCTCAGAACAACTAAAAATCGATAAACAGACATCTCTCTTTTGTTAACTAATACTAATACAAACAAATGAAGGATTCGCAATCTCATTAAAAGCATTAACATTAAGAAACTAGCACAACACAAATATATATGAGGACATCCCCGTAACAGGTCACGTCAATAATATGAGGACATCCCCGTAACAGGTCACGTCAATATATGAGGACATCCCCGTGACAGGTCACGTCAATATATGAGGACATCCCCGTGACAGGTCACGTCAATATATGAGGACATCCCCGTAACAGGTCACGTCAATATATGAGGACATCCCCGTAACAGGTCACGTCAATATATGAGGACATCCCCGTGACAGGTCACGTCAATATATGAGGACATCCCCGTAACAGGTCACGTCAATATATGAGGACATCCCCGTAACAGGTCACGTCAATATATGAGGACATCCCCGTAACAGGTCACGTTTGAAGGACCTTCCCCACATTTGACCGACCAATGACATGGCTTACATTAAATCGATATTATCAGAAAGCAGAATTTAGGGCACAAGTTACAAAATGACGACTTCCATTCCAGATTAGCTTTGAAAAATATTTATAGTTCTCTATTAATTTTTTTTAAAACTGAACAAAAGAAAATCCCGGAATTTCAAAAATATGGCCGAGATTGTATGGCTGTACTTTCTACGGACTAAGGAAAGTCTCTTCTGTTTCAAATGCTTATCCAATTAAAGTGAGAGATGGACAATTATTTTGACGGAAGCAGTCGTAACTGTCGTTCTGAACCTTTTCGAGGTTATATTAGAAAAGACATTCGGACTTTCACTTTCCGGATCTCGTAAGTGACGCTGTGAACCCGTGAAGAACCGGGGAAGAATAGGTATTCAGCAACCCATGCTTGCCGTAAAAGGTGACTATGCTTGTCGTAAGAGGCGACAAACGGGATCAGGCTCGCTGACTTGGTTGATGCATGTCATCGTATCCCAATTGCGTGGATCGATGCCCAAGATGTCAATCACTGGGTTGTCTTGTCAAGACTCGATTATTTACAAACCGCCGTCATATAGCTGGAATATTGCCGAGTGCGGCGTTAAACAACAAACAAACAAACAAAGTGACGCTCTGTTTGGTCGTGCTGACGTGACCTGTAATGGGATGTCCTCAGATCTGTGTGGTAGAGTGCACCAAAACCTAATTTTAGATAATCCCACGAGATCGAAGGATTTAACATATATATAATAGCACTGGTGCATGCTAATGTTTGCTCAATACAATGCGAACACAATCGATAAAGGTAACAATAAATACCATAGAGTTTCTTCAGGAAGTACGATGTCCCGCAGCACTTGACCACCCCCTCTGCCATGATGGCGATGCGGTCACCCAGAAGGTCAGCTTCATCCATGAAGTGAGTGGTCAGCAGCATGGTCCGGCCCTGTCTGTTCCTCTGAAGGATGTCCCATGTCTGTCTCCTGGCTGCAGGATCCATACCGGAAGTCGGCTCATCCAGGATGACGATCTGAACACGGAATGCATGCATACATAGAAGTTGATAGAACATGTGCATAGTGACCCTGTGTCGTCTCAGTTAACCAATACTACTAACACATTGAATTGCGGCCAGAAAAGAAATATCAACCGAGTAACAGCGTTCAATGGGAACGACTCGGTTACACAATTTTAAGTGAGTGCGTGAGTGAGTTTCAATTTAACATCACATCGGCAATATTTCAGCCATATCGTGACGAGAGAAAGTACTACATTCAAAATATATATATTTAGACGGTATAAAGGTCTGTCGTCGAAGGACCGTAACATAACTAGACTTATCCCACTTTTTATTTAAAGCGTGTATAGAACCATAAAAAAGTATCATCATTCATAACAAGATGTGATAAAAACGAGCTATAGATCGCCAGCCATTGAATGTAGATCACCATACTAGGGACCATGGAGACTTACAGTACCTTTGCTACCTGCATGAACATCAGCATGATTTACAATAACGAACTTTGGGTATTAAGTTGACAAAATCATAGTGGTATACATGATACCGTTGACATTGATATATCTACAGTGGTAAAGTTATCATCTTTTCATAATTAATCCTTTCAAAGTAATAGTTTCAATGTTGTAATTAGATCTGCACATGAAGACATGCAGATATTTTAGAAAAAAATTGAAACCCACAACCTTGTGAGTGAATAGGTCGGATAGAGCTAGACTGGTTCCCTGCCCTTCGCCTCCTAGCGGCTGCAGGCGTAAGCGCAAGCACTCCAGGGCAGGTAAACCAGTCTAGGACAGGACGTGGCTCCCTGTTAGGATTGTTGCCGAAGAACTTAAACATGTTTAGTGTAATAATTTACTGTAGGGAATATTTAAAAACATATTTTCATAATTATTGTATTTCGTATGTTCGCGTATCATTATGCACGTGAGATAAAGCTAAAGTTTATTTTAAAAGTTACTTCTTTCCAAAGATTACTCATTCCCATTAACCATGCCCCCCATGTAACTTTCTCAAACTTGTGACAAATAATTGCCAGCCCTTTAACCAATCAGAAGCTAGTATTTTAATGTAAGCTGAGATAAAGCTCGTTGTAAGTCTTGGTGGTATTTGTTTTATGCATGTGAAGCTGATTAGCTTATTTCAATATATATTATAGATCTAACCCAAATATGACTTATTGCCTAAATACATGTGCTTTACTTAAACATGTTTAAATTCTTAACATGTTCAGATTATGGGGATGTTGTGTTTAGGTGTTGTTTAGACGACATCTCATTTCCTGTGTTTAGACCCTAAACGTGCGTACACCAAATGAGTATTCCGTTTTTAATTTAAATACGTTCCCAAACATGTTTAGATCTAGATCTAAACATGCCTTGTATGTGTTTACATTCTAAACACATTTTTGACAGTTTTATCAGGGTTGCGGTGCAAGTAACTTCAGTGTCACCAATACACAAACTTAAATTCGTCCATATGTTTGAACACGTGGGGATTCTGGGAAAAAAACCATAGGTCCAGCAATCTATGCTCGTCGTAAGAGGTGAACAAAGTGATCGGAAGCTAAGCCTCGCAGACTTAGTTGAATACACGTCATCGTATTACAACAGTGCGGATCGATGCTCATGGTGTCAATCATTGGGTTGTGTGGTCCAGACTCGATTATTTACAGATCGTCGTAATTTAGCCGGAATATTTGTTAGTGTGACGTTATACAAAATACTGAACCCCTTTGAACCGGGATAATATATTCAGTATTCTTCACAATGAAAGATCGTTTGGTTGGGCACTGTTAAATATTGCAGATTGGTATAATTACACGTACGCCGGGTTAATATGAATATGTCCCACCTTGGACCCCCCGATGAGGGCTATCCCCACCGACAGTTTTCTCTTCTGGCCCCCGGACAGATGCTGGGACTGGGTGTGTCGCTTCAAGTCCAAACCGACTTCGTGGATAATTCGGTCAACTTCTGTTTTGGCTTCGTGCTTCTTACATCCTTTCAACTGCAAATGGATGGAGTGATGATAAATTGGTTTACAAGAAATGCCAAGGTATGCATGGCATCATTATATGACAAACACTTCAGTCCAGAACAGAGAGTCATAACAAAGCGTTTATTTACATAGTTGAGGATGTGATGTGAGTGAGCAATATAAGCCTATGTTTGGCTGGACGCACTCCATACACCTTTTGTCTTATATGCATCAATTTTATATTGTACATGTTGTGCATGTGATACTTTTATAAACATTTTACTACTAACATTACTACTATAACATTCAGTCTGGAGGCTGACATTGGACCCCCGACCCTCACCCCTCTCCCCTCTCCCCAACTCTGTAGGATGGTCCAGTCATACGTACATCGGCGAAGAACTCCATGTGTTCCACCACGGTGAGACTGTCAAACAGGATGTTGTGCTGGGGACACAGTCCGAGACTCTGTCGGACACCCTGTATGTCTGTTCGAATGTCGTGGCCATTGACGAGTGCGGTTCCTCCAGATGGGGGAATAAATCCTTGGGGAAAGAACAAAACGATTTTGTTAAATGGTCTTGACGAAGTGAACACTGGTTGTAACGAAATCTAGGGACCCCTTGCATGGAAAATAAATATAATCGATGCCCTGAAACAGTGTTGCTGTTGTGGGTTGATGCAGATACATCCTCCATCTACATCATAGACTCCCTACAGTCTGTATTCGCTACTGTGTATCGATATACTAGATTGTTGAGCCTGCTATTTTCATTTTTTACGGAACTTATTGGTGTGGCCCTCTGAGGCCCTCTGAGATACATCCTCCATCTACATCCTCCATCACTGCATCATTGCTGTAACATCAGCTACTTTAGTGTGTGTGGCCCTCTGAGGGTGACTGCCATATGTTTTTAACCGCGTCAGGGCAGAATCAAAACCGATGTTTAGTACATGAGACATCAGAGAGTATACGGAGAATGCACCCGTGAAGATCCGGGGTAGAATAGGTCTTAAGCAACCCATGCTTGCCGTAAAAGGCGACTATGCTTGTCGTAAAAGGCGACCAACGGGATCGGGTGGTCAGGCTCGTTGACTTGGTTGATGCATGTCATCGTATCCCAATTGCGTGGATCGATGCTCATGATGTCAATCACTGGATTGTCTGGTCCAGACTCGATTAATTACAGACCGCCGTCATATAGCTGGAATATTACTGAGAGCGGCGTTAAACGACAAACAAACAAACGAAGAATCGACTAACCGGTAAGGACAGACATGGTTGTAGTTTTTCCAGCACCGTTATGACCCAGGAGGACAGAGATCTGACCCTCGTACATGTTGAGATTCATTCCATTGACAGCTACCTTCTTCTTAGACCCGGAGCCGAAAACCTTTTAGCACATCATATCAATATTTACATATCATGCTTCATTTCCCATTTCTAATTGCGAAATGACAAAATAAATATCTTGACTGCGGACATGAGTTCCAGTTTGATGCGGACGTAAAATACTACTGATTTGAAAATTTGGTGAGGTGAAATGGGGTTTAACGTCGCGCTCCTGATATTTCACTTATATAGCGACGTGCATGCACGTGTGTGTGACTGCTTGTACCAGTCCGTCCAAATGCCGGTTTAATAGTGCTGGCCCACCATGCCGCAGATCCGTGTAGGTCCGGGGAAGAATAGGTCTTCAGCAACCCGTGCTTGCTGTAAAAGGCGACTAACGAGATCGGGTGGTCAGGCTCGCTGACCTGGTTGATGCAATCCCAATTGCGTGGATCAATGCTCAAGATGTCAATAACTGGATTGTCTGGTCCAGACTCGATTATTTACAGACCGCCGTCATATAACTGGAATATTGCTGAGTGCGGCGTTAAACAACAAACAAACAAAGAAACAAACAAACCATGCCGCAGTTTAACACGGATACCCCACTCACACACAGTATACTGACTCCAACAATGCAACTTCCGTTGTTCAGCATTTACAATAGTCGTAACAATACAGACCATTTGAGGTTATTACTAAACTGTTGAGTGAGTGAGTTGCCTTTAACGTAGCTTTTAGCAGTATTTCAGTTATTTTACGGCGTGTCAGCTAACTAAGACACAGGTCAGCTGTTCCAGTTCTGAGCGACTCACCTTACTTAGATTCTTAATGCATACACCTGGATTGAGACCATTCGGTTCCTTCTCAAAATGTCTCTCGTCGGAGTGCTTGACATCACTTGCATCAACTTTGACTTTCTCAGCGCCACACCAATAAGTTCCCTAGAGAATGAAAATGGCAGGTTAAACAATCTATTATTACGGATACACAGTAGCGAATACAGACTGTAGGCAGTCTATTTAAAAATTGAAATAGCTAAAGAATCCTTGATAAATATTTCTTGAAGAAACGTTTCTTACATTTTGGACACAATGGTTTAATCGTATTTGTTGATTAATTTGTTTCTTTTATTGTCTTAAGTCAGACACGAACCCTCGTTACTCCGGAACCTCCCTATCTGAACGGTTACTGAAAACCTTAACGTGTTTTCACATAACGTAAAAGATATCATAAATCGTCATTCCTGACGATTTCACTGATAAAGGTGACGTCCGGATAAACGAGGTTGTACGGTAATACACTTTATAGTCTCAACATACAGACTGTTCTAGTCTATAGGTCCAATCGTCTAGCCTTAACATCAATAAACAATATTGATTTATGAAGACTAATCGGTGCTTGTTGCAGAATAACACCAAAATCAATACGCTTTTGTACTGATTCGAACTCGGGTTTTTGGTTTGACGAGCGAGCACATTATCAAGGCTACCCCCCCCCCCCCCCCCCCCCCCCAATTATGAATTATGAATATAGTTATTGTTTAAGTTTCGAGTAGAAGCAGTTGTGACCTTTTGCACCAATCTTTGCAGAGATCAAATAATGATTGAAGACAGAATTGAAACCTATGCATAATATAACCCGCAAACATGTCAATGAATACTGTTATTCAGGGCTATCAAAATCAGCGCTTACAACCTAAACATTCAACAACAGACAATACACAACACACAGAATAAACACGCAAACATGTCAGTGGAAATTATTCGCAGAAATTGTTATCCTTATAGTGCCTCATAAGGCACCTTGGGTTGTATACTCCCCAGGGAGTTGAGAATGAAATTCGGGTGCAAACTAAGCCATAAACCGGGCTTATAATGTGTGCCTTAGGGTGTGGACTTGGCACATTATATGTATCATTATTATTTACAATACAGAGCGGCTGTAAGCTCCAGGGGCAATCGACGACAGACAAATTTGTAGTAGAGTAAATGCTTGAGTGAGTGAGTATGGTTTTACGCCGCCTTTAAAAATATTCCAGCAATATCTTGGCGGTGATCAGTTTAAACACTCGCTCGTAAAATCTCTACGCCATGTCACGATATCTCGAGATTCTTCTAAGATTTGTCAATGTTAAAAACAATTCACTGTCGGTTTCCCAGCTTTGAACAGCATTCTAGTTATATCACGGCGTGTCAGCTTTGTGTGGCAGGAAAGCTCAAAGTGATGAAGGCCTCAGACGTTTACCACATTCGTGAAACCCCCGAGCACGGGTATGGTGCTGACAAACCGAGAAACATAACCGTGGTGAAATAGGATTTAAACCCACGATCATATATTTCTGCTACGCCCAAGGCCAAGGGACATAACACTGCACAGCGAATTGCGGCGCCTTAACATCACTGGGTGATTGGATGAGTTGGTTCAACTTAAATTTTAACAGTATTGCAGTTATATCACGTCGTGTCAGCTTGGCGTGGGAAGAAAGTGAGGCAGGTTTAAATGGACGTTTACCACTTTCGTGAAACCCACGATCACAGGAATGCTGTGACAAACCTAAAAACATAATAAAGGCGAACCGGCATTCGAACCAGCGACCAATGGGTTTTTGCACGCCTAAGGGACGTAACTCTGTACAGCGAATTCCGGCGCCTCAAACGATCAAGAAAAGTGCGATACAATAACATACGACTGAAATTCAAAAATGCCAACTTCATTTCAGTGAAGAAGTGATGATAATGAGCAAGGAGAAGGATGATACAAACTCACTTTGGCTATGGGTAATATACAGAATAACATTCGAACAACTCTGTAATAATAATTATCACTCAGTTGACAGAACATACATACCGTATTCGACGTAATAAGCACCCAGGACGCCCTCAAAAATTAGAAATATGGAATATTATTTTGGTGAAAAAAACAGAGTTGAAAGATGGTAAATTTCGTGGTTTATGCTGACAGCCTGAAATGTTTATATACGACAGATATATTTTTCCAGGATTTAACTGCCCATAATTATGGGTGAATATAACACACGAGTGCGTATTATACGCGAATTTGTTTTGTAAGTCTTGTGTACATTAATCAATCGGAAGGGGTGCTAATCAGGATTGTTTACTAGCCAATATATAACAAATATCGCCGTGAGCGCTTATTAGAGCGGGGCGCTAATTATGGCGAATACGGTAGTTCCCCATAGCTCGAATGTTATTCTCTGAAACTACATACGACTTGAAGCACAACCAGAGAGATATAGCTATAGGTTTGCAGGGAAGCCATAGAGCTATGATTCATTCACGGAAAGCGTCCCGTTGTGTTATAAAGAACTAATTTTCATATTGACTAATACAGTAACAACATGTCTGTTTTAATATAACTTAATAGACATTTCAAAGAATTATCTTCAGAGGTGGAAATGTTAGTTCAATGTGTAAAAAACAACAAATTTTGGTGCGGTTTTAGATTTGGTGGGGGGATATTAGTTTGATATTCATGACATCAAGACTTGTAGGTTCAAAAGATTCCTTAACTACTATCTTCGTTCGTTTGTTTTTTAACGCAGCATTGAAAATTATTCCAGCCGTCTGTTAATATTGTCCTGACCAGACAATCCTGTAACTGACATCATCAGCATCGATGTACGCAATTGGGATACGATGACATGCATCACATCTAGAGCCTTGAGTCCATGACACTCATTATGTCTGACGACTTCGGTCGAGAGACACCATAAAGTCTGCCGACAGACCTGTCTCACACACAGGCATAAATCTTAAAACTTTCCTGCCATCTTGGTTGTTGCCAAGGAAACGCTACCAACGTCACCTTTCCAAACCAACATGGCGAAAGAAAATATTTCTGAATGTGTTGGGGAAGAAGACCTGTTTTTGCAGCTTTAATTTTAGTATTGTCATTCAGACAAAAATTCTCGCGACGTAAAAAATCATTTAGAATAATTTACATGTAGACAAGTTATGAAATGCTGACAAACGGTTGACATAGTTTATAACTCCTGGGCACCGAGATGTCGGCCTTGACTAGAGCCGGTCTTTATTCCTCGCCGACAGTTGATACGAGGTGAAATTAAAGTCATAAAGGGCGACACACGGGGCAGATGGAAGCTGAGCAATAGAACTACCTCGTGTGTCATGGCGTGGGACATATGATTGTAATACGAGTTGGTTAACTATGTTTCTGTTTGTTGTGTAACGCCGCACTCAGCAATATTCCAGCTTTTTGACAGCGGTCTGTAAATAATCAAGTGTGGACCAGACAATCCAGTGACTGACAACATGATCATCGATCCACGCAATTGGGATCGATGACATGCATCAACCAAGTCAGCGAGCCTGACCACGCGGTCCAGTTAGTCGCCTCTTACGACAAGCATAGTCACCTTTTACGGCAAGCATGGGTTGCTGAAGACCTGAAGCAACGGGCACAGTCACTAGATGTGGGTATCTATGTTCCTAATGTACCTATCAGTCCTAGTTGTGCTATAAAATTTGTTTTTGTTTTGTTTGTTTTTTAACGCTGAACTCAGCAATTTCCAGCTATATGACCGTGAGTGAATAATCAAGTCTGGACCAGACAATCCAGTGAGTGACATCATGAGTACGATCCACACAATTGAGATATGACATTCATCAACCAAGTCAGCGAGCCTGACCACGCAGTCCCGTTAGTCGCCTCTTACGAAAAGCATAGTCGCCTTTTAAGGCAAGCATGGGTTGCTGAAGACCAATTCTACCCCGGATCTTGTGAACAACAGAAGATGTCATTTTCATCAAATATTTCATCAATGCGTTGATATATCGTTACCTCGATAGAGGCCACGTTGTGAACAATAAAACCAGTTGCAAGAACTCGCCAATCAGCACGAAGCAATGCTTGGAGAAACTTACATATAATAACTACATCCATATCCATGCAGCTGGGAGTAATATTAGTAATCACTATATAATTCAACGGGAAATTACAAATATGAACTTTGATACACATATTATTTCTTTACCTGTTATTCACTCACTAATATATTATTGCATGTAGACTTGCTGCGGTGTCTTGAGACTTATATGAGTCAGTAAAATATGTTAACTTTAAGTGTGTAATCAAATATTTTGAAGAACTATTGTTATTTACAACTATTTCTAAACACACACAGACAAGAAGAAACCAACACGTTCAAACAAACATAATAACTTTCTTACATTTTGTGATCGCCAAAACTAGAAAAATGCAAAAGCAAAACTATGAATCAAAATGGATCGTTCAAAGTGCTCATGGCATGTGCATTGCATGACAGTGCGAAACGTGAATGAAATGAGCATGTGACAAAACAGTGATTTGACACTAGTGATATATAACTATACGTAGCATGCCACGTGAGTTGTGATAAATAACGATTCATTGACCTCTGTGAGTTAAAGTAGGTCAATGGACCAAACGTTCCTTGACACAGTGATAAATCCTATGTCGGGTGAGAGGAGAAGGGCCTTATCAGTGTGACCTTATGTCTCGATGATTCGTTGTCGTTCACGTGGGGAGGTGCGGTTTGTGTTATGAAAGACGCTAGCAACCCTTGTGTAACACAGAGATAAGGCCACACTTTGCTAGTTTCATGTTTCACGGATCGGTCGAAAAAAAAGAGAGTAAATAGCTATGTCAATCATTTATTTATTTATATGAAAGTCATTCTGCCGTGGAGTTAAAACTGCAGCTTCCTTCTTGAATCGCTGATAGTCATGTAGACATGGAATTTGTATATTACATTTTATATTGGATAAGATGGTCTATATTACAAAACAAAAATAAATATTCTTATGTTTCTTTATTTCTTGGACCGGCTGCTTTTCAGTAGGGGCGAAAACGAAAAATAGACAATGTGTTGCCTAAGTTATCTTGTCAGCTGGCAGACGCATTTATTATCAACTATAAAAGTGCCCATCCTGTGACCAGACGTTTTATGATCTGTTTCATCTGCCACCTTTATATAAAGGACTCAAGGTGATACTGAAGAGATACATAACAAATATTACAAGTGATCAAGCATGTTTGAAACAATGTTTTTGGCGATTTTCAGTGATCCATTCCGAAAACATTCATCACTATTTGCCTTATATGCCAATGGAATAAGTCCCGGAAGATATGTTTTATAAAATGGCATATTATGTTTAGCGGGATTACAGCGTTTCGTTATGACATTCTTTGTACAATGAAACCTCGCTAATGTGGACTGTAGCGTCCCCACTGTATGTTATGTCCATATTAACCCAGTTCCTGATTAAAGAATCGTGTTTTCAGTGTAATTGAGGCCCTGGTCCTTATCGTAATCAGCTGTTAACTCATTATCACTAACAAAATGTCCATATATGAAAAATAAAATTTAAAAACAGCAACTCCAACTAACAGTTTTCGTCCACTAGTCATTATAATGATAAAATATAGCAAAGATTGTCTTATATGGTGGTCTAAACAGACAGCAAAACAACTATATCATGAAACAAATAGGAAACAGTTATTCGATGGTGATGTATTTGATACGGGTATCATAGGCGATATTACATGCGTCATAACAATGACTATCTCACAACAGGTGACGTGCACAGGACGTCTCCGGGTCGCAATCTGACGGAGCACGGTAATGGGCAGAATGAAGAGTGAATTTTCAAGTGTACACTCCTCCCCCCCCCCCCCCCGGCAGTTTATTTGATTGTTACAGCAGCATCATTTGTGTTTCAGCAGTGTTCCGAAGATGAAGCCAACAAGTTTGATTCTTGGGAAATACCCACGTAACCAAAACTTTAACACTTGAAGAATGTATACACGTACTTTCAAACAGTTTCTTAAAAATTCACATGAGATACTGACAGACTGTTGTAACCTGAATAATCCCAAGGGGTTTGCACTGGTGATTACAATATATGGCCAAGCTGACGACACGAACAATCACTCATGCTATCAACCACTGGTTTGTCTGTCCGGCAATACGTGTAATGAGATGGTTCACTTACGGTGAAAGGAAAGTACCACGGTTTGGGTACGCCAAACTCGCCTGGCCGGACATTGTCCACGTACCACGTGATGACCAGATGAATGAGGGTGTCGCCTAGCAACATGAGCATTGCGTCCAGGAGGGAATAGTTGTCATCAACTGTGGCTGGGCTGGTGAAATTGTTCCACTGAGCTCCCGCACCTGAAACAAAATAGGATATACGTGACAAGTGAGGGGGATGTTTTTCTTTTTTTAAATTTTCTACAGGTAAATTCCGATATGTTGATGGCATACTCTCATTTGAGACAATTTGGCGCCTCTAACAAACATGGATGTATGGGGACCTCTTACATCCCAATGTCCAAATATCCGGTTGAAAATAAGTTGAGGAATATCACTGTGGTAACTATAGACTCAGGCAAGCTCTTCACTATTAACAAATTGAAAATAAATTCCATGGCTTTTGATTAGCTAACAAATTGATACGTTTTCGGTTAAATTTCTCAAAACCTAAAGACATTAGGCCAGGCACATCAGCTGACTACCTACTTCGCTTGTAAAGCATTATGTCGTTGAACGGTGTTACTGTTTTGGCACCGTAGCCTTCAGTTTTTGTGTGTAAATATAGTTTTTGTGTGTAAATAATTAAATAAACAGTTTGTGAAGCCAAGCGGATTTGCGCAGTGTGCACAACGGGTTTTACTCTATGCCCAAAACCGCAAGCCATATTGATATCAATTCTTAAAATAACCACTACATTCTGTGATCATACGTGGATAATGATTTTTTTATGGACAAAAAGTATAAATTGCAAACAGTAGATGAAATGTCAGGCTGCTCCTTGCGTTGGGGTGGAAGGTGTTACATGAGTGTAGGTTTCCACTCGTGACATCCCGGAACCAGTCGACTGGCGTCTTGTCGATCTCATTAAAATCAGATCTTAGTTCTCGCCACCGCTAAACAAAGATCTAAAGACATTCAACTACGGGTCACATCAGAACGACCAATCGCGAACTTTGACCGACCAATGAAACGACTAACAAGAAATCGATATTAGTCAATCAGAAAGCAGCTGTCCCGAGTTTCTCGGCACTAGTTTCAAACTGATGACTTCCATTCTAGTCCACGTTTTGAAAAATTGATCCAAATTTTTAAAAGTGAACAAAAGAAAATTCTGGCAGGGGCCACGGAATGTCTCTTCTGTTTGAAATAGTTATCCCATTGAAACGATCTGGTAAGCGATGCTCTGATGGGTCGGATGAAAGGTTGTTCTGACGTGACCCGTCAGATCTTTGTTTAGCGGTTACGAGAACTGATTTGAATGAGATTGGCTTCTTGTAATGTGCGGAATTTGCCCCTCTACCATCCAGCGTAGTGTGGACGGGCATCACACGCGTGTAATGTTTCAACAGTTGATAGTTTCTTCACTGAAGATACCGCGTGGTATTTCTAGAGGACTAAACAATAAATACAGATAAGCTGGTTGAGGTGACACAGTCGTCCGAGGTGCCTCAATTCGCTGTGCAGAGGTATGTATTTCGACGTTGGAAGGGCTCCCAAAGAGGATCCCGAACTTTGACTTTGTCACGAAGCACAATAATATGTCAGTGAGCAGTGGGTCCACGCCAACAAATGTTCTCGAGGGGTGGCATCCAGATATAAAAAAAATGTACACATCCATTGAGATACTGCAGGTTGAGCAGGATAATACTGCGATCACAATCAAGGGCCCACTTGCACAAAGCGAGCTTAGCGCTAAGATGATCGTAACTCCCATTCTTTAACATAGGCTTAGAATAGTCGTAGCATAAAGATCGCTTTGTGCAAGTGGGCTCTGGTAGTTTGATGTCACACAAGAAGTATCAAAACCGCTATAATCTCTCTCTCTATCTCTCTCACACAGATACAAGAATACGAGGCCACGACTCACCAGTCCCTTCGTACAAGGCGATGACGTTCGCCCCGTACGCCATGGCCATATTGAGGAGGATGGAGGCACTCAGCTTCTCAGGCCGAGACATAGTTTCATAGCGAGATTGGAGGAAGAAGTAGGGGAAGTAGGTGAAGAAGAAGAGGATTCCTGCTATGGCTGCACCCACGTTGGCTGAAAACATATTCCGTTGAACTTGTTCAACATGCTTGCATATTCTTTCAAAAGCAATGTGTCAAGTTTGCTTGTTCGTTGTTATTTAACGCCGCATGCAGCAATATCTCAGCAATGGGGCAGCGGCCCCGATATAATTGAGTCTGAAATAGACAAACCAGTTACCGATACAACGAGGAATGTTCCACTACGTCGGGGTACTGGTCGGTAATACCCATGAAGATCCGGGGTAGAATATTGCTGAGTGCGGCGTTACACAACAAACAGAAACATAGTTAACCAACTCGTATTACAATCATATGTCCCACCCAATGACACACGAGGCACTTCTATTGCTCAGCTTCCATCTGCCCCGTGTGTCGCCCTTTATGACTTTAATTTCACCTCGTATCAACTGTCGGCGAGGAATAAAGACCGGCTCTAGTCAAGGCCGACAACTAGGTGCCCAGAAGGAGTTATAAACTTTGGTCAACCGTTTGTCAGTATTTCATAACTTGTCTGCATGTAAATTATTCAAAATGATTTTTTACGTCACGTGAATTTTTGTCTTAATGAGAATACTAAATTAGAGCTGCAAAAACAGGTCTTCTTCTCCAAACACATTCAGAAATATTCTCTTTCGCCATGTTGGTTTGGAAAGGTGACGTTGGCAACAACCAAGGTGGCGGGAAAGTTTTAAGATTTATATCTGTGTGTGAGAGGTCTGTCGGCAGACTTTATGGTGTCTCCCGATCGATGTCGTCAGACATAATGAGTGTCATAGATATGATCGGATGACTTTACTTTTGAAGGGGAGTGTAAACTATAGATATACCGTCAATATTTTTTACGTTAGGTAGTGCATATTAACCGTTATTAATAAATATTTTTAAATACAAAAAGAATATCCCAAATATCCCAAATATGTCAATGTATAATATATCTTGGTTTTCTGTTCATCAATCAAAAAACATTAACCATCAATAAAAATCTGTACCGCCCAGAGAATAAAACCATAAAAAATGTAACCATGTTCCACTTTGAATATGAATGATGAAAAAAAATGTCTCATTCCCTCTGACCAAGAGTGTGTTGTATGATAAAAAATATTTCAACAAAATCATCTGTAATTATGATTTATCTTCAGACCTTACATTTCAAATCGTCCTTTGTTAGTTTTCGTGTTGTTTAAGGCCGCACTCAGCAATATTTCAGCTATATATGACGGCGGCCTGTAAATAAATAGTCTGGACCAGACAATCCAGTGATTGACATCATGAGCATCGAGATACGCATTTGGGATACGATAACATGCGTCAACCAAGTCAGCGAGCCTAACCACCCGAACCCGTTAGTCGCCTCTTACGACAAGCCTAGTCGCCTTTTACGGCAAGCATGGGTTGTTGAATGTCAGTTCTAACCAGGATGTTCGGGGATATCAAATCGTCCTAGTTTGAACATGAGAGTTATGCCCGCTTCTCACCTTTCTTCGCGAACACGCTGATCATGAAGCAGAATGAGACGACCGACATGCCGTAGCAGAGGAGAAACACGAAGAGCAGAGAGGGGTCACTTTGGGCTAACACCGGACCATTCGCACTGATGCTAACGCCACACAGCAACGTGTACACCGCCATCACCAACACGATGTAGATGAAGACCGTCAGAAACCAAGACATCCAATGTGCAGCAGCGCTCAAGCCCATCAACTTCATGGACTCCTGATGACAAAAGAAAGGAGTGTTTGCTTCTGAGAACCATAGGATGGCGGCCTCTAAATAATCGAATCTGGACCAGACAAACAAGTGATTAATATTTCGAGCATTGTACCATGAAATAGGGGTAGGACGACTTGCAATCAATGAAGTCACCGAGACCTAATCAAGGGTACATATACGGTTAGAGACTGAGTGAGTGGGTAGGCTTTTATGACGCTTTTAGCATGAGTGAATGAGCGTTGTTTCACGCTAGTACAGTTAGCCACATCCGGTGTCAAACAACATTCATTCAGTGATGACGTCAAAATCATTACTCTTCGCGATATTTTAATTTCTCACCATGATAATGGTCAACTCTATCGATACATCTCCGACATATACGCCAACACGTCATGACGTCATCAACAGGCCGTGAGCGATAGGAGTCCGCAACATTCCAGCAATACAGATGAGGCCAGTAAATAATTAAGCCTAGATTACGTAATTAGTAATTGACGCTGTGAGTAACGATAATAGAAGTCGGCGAACGATAGCATCGAGTCACCCAGTACACACTGAAAACCACCGGGACCCAATGTCTCTTACTACAAGTGTAGCATGTCTGCGGTGCAGGGCCCCGTTCCACAAAGTGATCTTAGCGCTACGTTGATCGTGACTCCCATTCTTTAACACTGACTTACGACAATCGTAGCGCTAAGATCGCTTTGTGGAACGGGGCCAAAATTCCTGGGCTCCGTTCCATAAATCGATCTTTGCGCTAATACGACCTAGGCCATGTCATCCGACCCTAATGATCTTTGGAAGCGTGTTTTTGTGTGATGTCACTTACAAATACAGTAAACTACGGTTATAACTAACACGCTTATAACGAACTGGCGGATATAACGAACTGGTTTTGAGGTCCCTGCCATTTGCTGTATATATGCTGTATATATGCTTATAACAAATTACGGTTATAACGAACTAGAATTTGTGGTCCCTTTGAGTTCGCTATAACCGTAGTTTACTGTAATCTGAAAGCAAAATACCTACCTTCAGTTTTTTCTCTTTTTCGTAGACAATGCCTTTGGTTGTTTGAATTGTGCAGAGGATGAAGCTCAGCAAGAGGAATATCGGTAGCTGGGTCTGCAAGACTTGAATCATGGGGTCCACGATGTATGGCGGGTAGGGCATGCGCATTAGGCGAATGTCAAGGCCATCTATAGTGCTGGAGGCGCTTGAGTTATGGGTTTTGATGATGGCTTCATTCACGACACGCTGTACCCACAGAAAGCCGGACCCTTTATAATCTGTGAACATACATGTAAACTATATCTGTAATTCCTGAGTCAAACAGCCCCTTAATTTGAAAAAGGCCCACATTTTCAAATACAATGGGTCATTTTAACATTGTGCTGTTTGGGCAAGTTTGGGTGTACCACTGGAATATTTGAAATTTTCACATGTCAGAAAGTTCCTGGAGTGAACCCTGAGCCATCGAGTATTAACTCACATAAAATCATTCACTATGGGTATTGGCAATTTTCTTTGATTTTTCAATACATATTTACTCACTTAATTTTTTTTCTGTTTGACGTTTTCAAAACACAATTCTGCTTAAAACACGATTTCAGGTGACGTCTTACTTGCATCTCTCAATGTGACGCAAAGTAGTGCCATTCAGCAAGTTTATTGTTAAATAAACTTGAACTTCTAAGATTTCCAACGGGGCAAGTGTATAACACGTACCGTAGCCTAATGCTCTGACTGCATGCCAAGCGGACCCTGTTTCTAGACTTGGTCCCCTGTACCCATTCTATAGCCGACTAAAATCTGTGACGTGGCTGATTGCCAACCATCGACGGCAACGTACACAGGGGGCGTGGGACGTCGATCATCACTTGCAATCACTGGATAGTCTGAACAAGACTCGATCGTTTCCAGGACGCCGTAATATTGCTGGAACTATACCAAACAAACAGAGCAGTACTAACCTGGAGTTGTGGGACTTCGGGGAGAGTTTGTCTGGAAGAATGGGAAGGTTTGTCGTGTCCGCCATCTGTCGTCCTCCGACAGAATCCGGGGCCTAACGGCATACGTCAACTTTTGCGGTAGAGACGTGTCGTCAGCAGCAACGTTGAACTGCACTGCGCATGTCAGGTTTTGGGAGTTGAAGGAGAAAAAGTTCAACATGGCTTCCTCGGTTGAGAATCCCATCATTTCCACTGAAAAAAAAACAAACATCATCGTCATCATCAAACATAACCACTTCCACATCATTAATCAGTACCTGTTCTTTGGGGAATTTCAGGAACATGAGATCAGTTAAAATCGTTTAAGCTGATCAGTGAAGATCCGGGGTATAATAGGTCTTCAGCAACCAATGCTTGCCGTAAATCAGGAATATGAGATCAGTTAAAATCGTTTAAGCTGATCAGTGAAGATCCGGGGTAAAATAGGTCTTCAGCAACCCATACTTGCCGTAAAATGCGACAATGCTTGTTGTCAGAGACGACTAACAATTTCAATTTCTTTATTAACTCAAACCACCTGCCGGTGGTATATGAGCAACAAACATATATACATATATAGAGGTTATCACGCGAGTGTGTTTGGGGATGGTAAATATCCTGCTTTAGGAATAAACATTGTATTTAGCGAGCCTAGGCGAGCTAAATACATAGTGTTAATTCCTAATACAGGATATTTACCATCCCAAAACACACAAGCGTGTTACCTCTTTATCATATAATGTCATTCTTTAATTCTGTGCTTCAAAATCGCTTTCCCTCTCTCACAAACATTACCGAAACATTGCGAGTTTTCCTGGAATGCGCGCATTAATATTTATTACGTCACATGGTCAGTGATGTGGCAGTCGGACAGTGACAGTAGCCAATATAGTTCCAACTGAAATGTGTTTCTTATACAGTGGCGAAGCGACGCAAAACATCAGTTGTTTTTAATTGCCTTTCGCGGCAATCCATGGGTCTATCCGCCAGAGTAACTGCCCTTTGTCAAAGGGAAGCTACTCTAACCCAAGTCTATGAGACGTCATGGCCACGGTAAGACGTTGTTGACAGTCGGTTTGTCCGGTCATTACGTTAAGAAGTGTAGTCAGATGTACACACAGCGACAAAACGAAACAAAGGTAACAATTCAAACAGGATTCGGCCCAATCCAACTATTTTAATTTGTGGAGAAGGTTTTAAGCCGCAGAGGTCTACAAGCACAGATATGGCTACTGATCCCGCTTGGCTAGGCCTCGTGCCCTCGCAAAATTGTTTCAAAATTTATATCTCCAAAGTTGCCAAAACTTATAAAATGCCTTAGTTACGTCACAGTATATTAGACTGTTCTTTTGATAATGATAGCAATTATCCCTGTAGTTTATCCAGATTCCCGATGGTTACTTCTGACTCGATCGCCGAATGACGAGGGCGACGCCATGTTTGTTTATAAACAGTGAAAGTAGTCCTACTTGACCTTTGATATTTGCATCTCTGTCCGCATATGACGTTTTTATCCGTTGGCTTTAACCTGCCGAGAAACCTACCCATTATATGATAAACACAAATACAATGTGATCAAATGGCAACAGTTGTTTACTTTAGTACAGAGAGTAATATTTTTACAAATGTAGATAGTTTTTTTAAGATTTAATTGTAAGTTCTCATATTTGACATCAAATGTTTAGGGAATCGGGTGGTCAGGCTCGCTGATTTGGTTGATGCATGCCATCGATTCCAATTGCGTGGATCGATGGATTGTCTGGTCCAGACTAGATTATTTACAGATCGCCGTCATATAGCTGAAATATTGCTTAGTGCGGCGTTAAACAACAACCAACCAACCAACGTTTACGCTGCTCAGCTCATGTTACTGAGAAAATAATCCTACACAATTTGCAAATTATAATATAAGAAACGTATCACCTTGTCCATTAGCTCCATAAAAAGAAACAAAGACAGGTGTAAACTACATGATGATTATTTTAATGAAAGGTATCATTTTTCGAGGTCCGTATAAAAATGCAATGCCATACCGATAGTGCACTTGCCATAAGGCCGAACGAAAGAGACATGGGGTCCCAAAAAATATAATACATTCACACGAGTCAAACAGAGTCCACTCAAAGGTGCTCTTAAAGTCTTGTCATGTAATAAGACATGCCACACATGTCGCCGTCACATATCGGTTCTACAGGTGGGTTGTCCGGATGTAGGGGTCATCATCTGGCGTTGTGACCCTTGGTCTTCCCAATCTTGGACGGCCATGTGTCTGGCCTGTTTGCTGATAACGGCTCATCAAGATGCTGATACTGGTTTGACTGCAGTTAAAGGTTTTTGCAATCTGCCGCTGAGAGGCCCCAATATCGGCCATACCAAGAGCTCTGTCACGTTCCTCTTGCGTGAGTCTCGGCATTTCTCTGATGTTCTTTTTGCTGTTGCATCCTTGCTCCGCCCCAGGCCAGTATTTATGCAACAATTATGCACCAACATTTTTTTCAGTCCCCCAAATCCTGTTTTTACCATTTTTCATGACTGCATGAAATTCATTGCATCCTGCAAAAAGTGACTTCAATGTGTGCCCAGAGTGTGTTTTGGTGAATGTTTTCTGATAACGTTCCAACTTATCGCATCGTCTTTAATTCAGATAAAACTTAATTTACAAGTTTCTCCTCCCCGGTAGTTGATTTAAAGGTATGCACACCGGTATTTAAGTTTATACGGATCGGTTGGATAGCCAGGTGGTTAAAGCGCTTGCGCCGATTCCCTACAAAGGTACAATGTGTGAAACCCATTTCTGGTGTTCCCCGGCATGATATTGCTAGAATATTGCTAAACTTGGCGTAAAACCATAGTCATTCGCTCACTCAAGTTTATACCTCCAAAAACGCAATAAACAAAACAAAAACAAGTTAAAATCAATTCCTAAATGAGTGCACAGGCGCGTAAGCTTTCAACTCATTAGAATCTGTATCCGAGCTGTAAATGTTTAAGATAACGACAAGTTTTCGATTATTTTTTTATTCTCAGTATATCACTCGGGTTAATTCTGCTTTTTCCGCGGATTATTTAATACTACTTCGTGCTCATGAGTGAGTGAGTGAGTGAGTATGGTTTTACGCCGCTTTTAGCAATATTCCAGCAATATCACGGCGGGGGACATCAGAAATGGGCTTCACACATTGTACCCATGTCGGGAATTGAAACCGGGTCTTCGGTGTCGTTCTCATGAGATAAGCTTGGCGTTGAACCGTGTGTTAAAACGGGTCTTCGGTGTCGTTCTCATGAGATAAGCTTGGCGTTGAACCGTGTGTTAAAACGACGGATAATGTTTATTGACTGATAGATAAGCTTGGCGTTGATTTCTAAAACACAGTCACCACAGCATGCCGGTGATAGTAGAAGTCGTTTCCTTAGTTACTGTTACAATTGTGTACATACCCTATAGACGGAAAGCGGTCGCTCTATCAAGGATGGCAGTTAACCAAGAAAGTCTACTAGCCCAAATAGTGATAACAAACAGAATAAACCCTCAAAATGTTTGAAAATTCTACTAGCCCTTAAGATACCTTTAACATTAACAAAACTGTTCCAGGCTTTTGGTAATTTCTATACCCGTTTCTGGATTTACATATTAAAAATCCAAGCCACGTTTGTGGTCCTGGCGTTCCCATTGTATAACTACCTCAATTTAACAACTCTTCTTATATATGCTCACAACGAACTACGGTTATTACGAACTAAAATAGGTGGTCCCTTTGAGTTCGTTATAACCGTAGTTTACTGTAATTGGAGACTGCTTCATTTTAGATAACCCATTGAAAGCTTACTTCATGGATGAGCGTGGTATGCGTAAAACTGGTCCCGGTAGATTGATTGTTGCGGTGTAGTTTCTCTATGGCTGTCACACTGCCAATTAACTTAATATGGTTGGATACGGTCCTTCACTGAGATATTCTAAGATAAGGTTGGTACCGAAATGGGAATACGTCCAGGTGTAACGCTATAAGTCGTTTTGCATATTGGGAGATACAAGAACCCGGTCTAACTATCTGTCCAAGGGCGTAGATTTCGGCCCTCGGTTGGTAGCTCAGGGTGATGACGGAGGACAAAACTCAGGGATGAAGTTTAGACGACAGCAGCCATATTTATTGTTGATGGTTGAAATGAGTCGAAAAGGTACATGTTGATAATAACGTGACAGAACGCACACCGGGACCTAGTGGCCAATGTTCCCGGGTGGGAGAACCGTTCTGTCACTCACACGAGTCGATCTTCTGGCTGTCTCCAGGCTGTCTCTCTGACTGACTCCCTGACTGACCATGTCAGTCGGGTTTTGTAGAGCGAGGTATTACGTAACGTGTGGCAAGGTCATTGTCCCACGTGTATGTATAGACGTAAGATCCGGCGACGTTAGGAATGTTTGCTGAATATATTAAACAGACAAAGGGCATAGAATTTCGGTGCACTTGGAAACATATTGAAACAGTTAGGTATTTAGATAAATGAAATGTTAAATAAAAGTATTGAAATGGTTTGCACTATTTAAGTAAAAGTATTGAAATGGTTTGCACTATAGCATATCTTTTGGAAAACTGGTTTCCGCAGAGTCCAGTTTAGTTCAGTTTATTCTCAGAACGACCCACAAACGGCGGTAGAACCGCGGACCTTCTTGATAATAAAATCAAGCTGGAATTCCACACACATTGATTACACAACCAAATAACCAGCATAAATTATTCTCCAGAAAAACGAAAATACGTATACTTTATTTCAAGGGGGCAATTGCGACCCCTGTCCTTTTTAAGCATAATAATGTCTGACTTTCAACATAATTTGTGTTGTTGTATTGTTTACATATGGGAAAGGAAATCCCGAAATATTGGGTCTACTTATACATGCCCCTGTTAAAGATGTATGATGTTTGATGTCCGTGAACTTCCCTTGTGACTTTCGTGACAGTCTACGGTCTCCATATACCGTTAACTTGTCGCTGCGCAAGAACATCCCAGAATCCGTCGATGCATGATGGACATCGTTGTACCCCTCAGGTCTCAATGGAACCATTTTTTGTTTTACGGACGCCGTGATATAACTGGAATAATGTTAAAAGCGGCGTTAAACCCAACTCACTCACTCACTCACTTTACGGATTTTACCTAACCAATTATCTTTGGTTGATCGAAAAGAAATGAGTAAATAGATGTGTAGCTCAG